GTGGGACGTTCAGCAGCTTCCCTGGCCTCTCGTCACTCGATGCCAAAGCACTGTCCCCTCCGGGTGTGACGAAGAGAACTCCAGAGCTGCCAAGTGTCCCCTGGGGGACCAGCCACACAGCTGAGAGGCACCGGGCTCACCCAGCCCAGCGGTCATCCAGATACACGGACAGCGGCTGTTGTGGGTGCGTCCGGAAGGGCCTGGGGACGCCCCCCACCACCCTGTCCCAGCCAAGTCACAGGGACTTTCTGCTGGCCCAGCCAGGGTAGGGTTTTCAGCCCAGAGGAAATGAAATCTAGATCCGATGGCAGCTTCTACGTCCCTCTGCCAAGGTGTGGCCAGTGGCTCATTCGGACGCCTGCCAAGTGGGGTCGGAGGGCTGCATCCCTTGCCTGCCCTCCGTCCTGCCTCCAGAGGGCCGGCCTCACCATGGCTAGTACCTACCAACTCTGTTTTGGCCATGTGGAAAATGAGGCCCAGAGAGTTCGCAGGACCTGCCAAGGCCACCCAGCTGGTGAGCACCCGGGGTTGGGGGGAGGTCTGTCCTGGGTCTATTTATAGCCCAAGGCATCGTATGGGGGTGCCTGCCCAGCGTGGAAGGACAGGAGGGAATAAGATGCAGTACTTTGCTTGGAGCGGGGCCCCTGACATCCAGGCAGGGTGACCGCAGGCCAAAGTGGCAGCCGCTGTGTGTTTGGCCAATGCACTCAGGGTCATTCAAGGGCCACCAGGGCCTCTCTCAGGGACAGAGTGGTGTGTGTGTGCCATGGGAGCAGCACCGAGGAGGGTGCCAAGGAGCGCATAGCACAGCTCCCCAGACACCGTGCCACGGGCTCGGGGGGCAACACCTGCAGGGAGGGCCACGTTCAGACCTGGGCTCAGTGCCCGGCTCGGTCGGCCCTTTACCCTCCTGTGTCCCCTCGCGTCACAGCAAACGCTCACCAAGCCCTGCCCCGATGCCTGCCACAGGCTTTCGGGGAATCCCTAAAATGGGGGAAGGAAGGCACCGTGGTGATCAGCCGACTAGGACACTTTCATGAGGCCCCTTTTACAGACAAGAAAATGCACACAGAGCGTAAGCAGGGATCCAGAGCCCACATCCTAACCCTCTACACACACGTCTTCAGCTCTGGAACATCAGCTCGCTGACAGCTGAATTCCACTCGGGCATCTCCCCCAGGAAGGGAAGGAATGGGTCTTTTCCCTCTTGAAACAAGGGATTTGTTCCCATGTGTTCACTGTGACTCCCAGCACCCGGCACGGCGCATAGCATGTGGGAGTGTTCGATAAAGGACGACTGCAGGGACGAACGGATGGATGGACGGATGGACAGACCGATGGATGGATAGGTGGACAAATGAATGAAAGGCATCAACATGTAGGACGGGGTCCTGAGGGCGAGGCGTGGCGCTGGCTGCTTTACCTGGATCGGCTTCCTTCCTTGCACCTACCTGGCCAGGTGGACACGAGGATCCCAGCTGTACCCATGAAGAAACTGCAGCTCCTGAAAGGCACGTTCTAGAGGCCCTGGTGATGTCACACAGGTCCCAGGGCCCAGCACAGAGAGCTCAGTCTTGGACTGGAGAATCTGTCGCTGGCCTTGAGTGATGTGCTAGGGGAGGGCATTCATTAAGGAGTAACCGATCAGAGCCTTGCTCTCCGTGAGCTGCCGCTGTGAAAGAAATGGGAGCGACCAGCCATGCTGATGTCTGGGGAAGAGGGAAGACCCGAGGGCGGGACAGTGCCCTGCATGCTGGAAAGGCGGCAGAGAGGCTTTGTGGCTGGAGGGGCCTTCGAGGTGGCTGGAGGGGAGCTCAGGGCAGAGGTCACGGGAAGCCAGGTTGTGGAGGGTAGCTGGCTGCTGCCAGAGGTGGGGACCACTGGAGGGTTGGGATGGAGGGGTTTTTAAAGGCACACAATGTTGCTGGGTGGAGAACAGACTATACAGCAGGGGAGGAGAGGAGAGGTGGCCAGGGCAGCAGGGAAATCGCTGAGGTGGCTGTCCTAGGGGCACGAGGGAGGGACCCACATGGCAGCCACCAGAGGGCTGAGAAGTGGTCAGATTCTGAGTGCTTTGCTAGAAGGTGCTGTAGGACCCACACGGGAAGCATCACTCCAGGTCCCCGTTCCCCTCTGGCCTGGGGTCCCCCTCCCCTGGGAGTAAGGCTAAGCACCAAGCCTAGGGCCTGGCACACAGGAGAGGTCCCCCTTGCTCCTTGCACAGCACGGACGCACTTACCTGGACGAGTGGGGGAGCAGGCACTCCTGCCCAGCCTAGGGCTTTTGATGCCAGCCCCCTCTGAGACTAAGGCTGCATGTGGCCTCCTCTTCAGGAAGGAGCGAGAGCTTGAACCCAGGCCCACGAGCCTCCTGAGGACCGGTCACCCCACAGCGCACACCCACGGGAACTCACCAGGTTGCCCACTTGGGACACCTGGTTGTGACCTGACTTGGGACCCCACCTCTAAAACTGACCTGACCCCCCATGTGGCACGTCCAGGTACTTTCCTTCTCAGGGGAATAAGCTGACCAGCTCCTCTCTGCTGAACACGTTCACGCTCCGGGAGACACAAAGCACTGTTGGAGGGCAGCCTGGCAGGGCCAGGATGCCCTCTCTGCGCCATTACTTGGGGCCTGGTTTCAGGGTGCAGCCCAGGCTTGCTCCCCAAACACAGCTGGTTCTTTAAACTGAAGACACCGAACACGCCAGCCTCACTTCCCTGCAAGCCACAACTCAGAAACCACGGAACGATCACAGGGGAAGGTACTGCCCTTCCTTACGCACCCCTGCATCTCCCAGCTTCCTTTGTGCTGGGGCTGGGGCCACGTGACTGACTCTGGCCCATGGGCTGAGTGGAACGGACTTGTGTCGCTTCCGGTTTGGGGCATGAAGAACACAGATGCATCATCCTGTGCCCGCTTTCCCCTGCCCTGCAGTGCCGACCTCCGGAAGCTGGCCCTTGGGAGCTGATGCTCTAAGACCGTGATAGCCTAGGTCTCTCTGCCGCTGCAGGGAAGACAGGGACCCGAGAGAGGCATCTGATGGTCATCAAAGAATGCACGAGTGAGAAATTACCCTGATGTTCCCTTTCCCAAGAGTTCAGCACTAATTTGCTCTCACAGCATAGCCTGGCCTAGCTGACACAAAGGGATTTTCTCGGTTAGTTTTGGCCACGTGGGACTTTGGCCTGGCTTGTGTCTTACATGACTAAGGTCGTGTGTGCCACCAACATGCCGTTGCTCATCGCCACAACAATCCCGCAGGGCAGGTACGATCAGGCCTATGTAACACACGCAGCAGGGCCACCGATGTCCAGTGACGTATGCGAAGTCACACGGTTATTAGCAAACCGCAAAGGCAGGGTTCAAGCCCAGGCTCTGTCCACTGGGCCAGGCTGACTCCCCACGAAACCCCGCCTGCTTCTTCCCCTCTCAGGCCCCGTTCCCGAACAAGGGCTCCCACTGGAGACAACGGGTTTGCCAAAGAGAAAGAACAGAAGCAGGCAAGAGGGTTACCCCGTCCTGACTCTGAAGGACATGGCGACACTCTGCTAACGGCCCAAAGAAAACAGAACAATTGTTCAGTAAGAAACAAAATATTCTTTTTTTACTGTAAATTATTGCAAATGTTCATGTTTCCAGTGTCATTAGAAAAAGATCCCCAAGAAAAACTTGGGTTTATCTAATGTCGAAGAATGGTATAACTTACAAAAAAATAAATATATATCCCACCTAAAAGAAGGAAGGTGCTTCTCTGGGTGTGAAGTCAGCAATGTAATTCATAGCGAGGATGAATCTCGGAGCAGCAGTGACCTTCCTCTGCGTTTTGGGTCTCGCTCTGGTCTGAGAAACCGCGAAGGACTCTGCTTCTCTGTTTTCCTCCCAGAACACGCGGACCACCCGTCACCCGCCGGCTGCTGTGGCTCCTCCCTGGGAACGCTGCTCCTCAACCAGCCCCTCTTCCCAAGAAATTAAAGTCTTGAAACTGTTTTTCCCCTTGGAGCAGCACTTAAAGCCAAAAAAGCCAAAAAAAAAAAAAAAAAAGAAAGAAAGAAAAGGAAAAGCAATCACTGATATTTGTGAATGGGTCCTTTTCTTGTCCTGGAAGACACTCAGTCACGAAACGTCAAGCTCTCCACGCTGCCATCCTTCAAGCTACCCAGATGCCGATGGCGAGGAAAAAAAAAAATCTAACCACACGGAGGAGACTCAACGGGGCTCTTTTCAGCTCCGACCGGTCCTACCTGGCAGGTACCTAGCGCTCTGGGCCTTGACCGTCTCATCACCATCGGCAGATCTTCTCTCTCGGGGACTAGAGCAGTAAAGCCCTCCTAGCCACGGGGAGAAGGGGGAGTGAGGAAAGCGAGGAGACCAGCGTGGATAAGGAGCCGAACGGCCAGGCTGGGGAGCCGGTGCGGAGATGAGCCCTGGGTCCGCACAGCCCAGACGTGCTGTCAAGTCCCGCCGGTGAGAAGTCCGCAGACATGGAGGCTGCCCCCCGGCCTGGGAGGCGAGTACCGGGGGAGCGGGGCTGAGACGAGGGGTCCCAGCGTCGGAGCGCCTGGAAGACCACATGGTTGGTAAGAGGAGTGTGCTTGGGCCTCAATGGATGGCCCCTCACCTCCTACCTGCAGCCCTGAAGAGACCAAGCACTCGGTGGGGGTGCCGGGGACAGCCGTCGGGGGGCCGGGGAGCTTCTCAAAGACAGAACCCTTTGACTTTGGCTGGAGAGCCCTGAGGCAGTTGGCTGGATTTGGTCACTAGCGTATTTTATGAAACCACTTTCTCTGGCAGCCTCGCTGCCGAAACCTCCCCGCCGAGCACCAAGAGCACAAGCGTGCGTTCCTGGGGGCCTGAGAACATCTGTGCATCTTGCAGGGCAACAGAGGCAGGGGCGGGAGGGTTCTGGGTGGGCTGCATCTCTGTGTCTCTCCTACTTCTTCACGGCCAATTCCAACTCGGGGGCCAGATGCTGGCTGCTTTGTGTGTTTTGATTTGGGGGTTTCTTTCTTCTTTTTGGTTTCAGTAAACAGGAGGCCTGGGTTCCCAAGGATGGTGCCCCAGTACATCATCCCCAGACGCCGGCGTGTCGGCCTTGCAGCTCTGACCAGATGCACCAGCTCCAGGGCTCACACCAGGCCAGCATCTTTGGCCATGCTGTAGAAAAGACCTCTCTGCTGTAGGAGGTCGGAGGGCTGGCCGCACTCCCGGATCTCTCCCTTCTCCAGGACGATGACCCTGCAAGAGCAGCAGACACAGACGTGAAGAGAAAGGAAGGGGTCAGCACCTTGTGCCCCCAAGAGCCACCCCAACAAATCCCTGCTCTAGGTCAGGCCCCTCACACCTTCTGTTAGGACTGCTGCAGTAGCCTTCCAACTGGCTGCCATCCTTGACCCCTCCTGGTCAAAGCCCTGGGATGCTGACCCCAAGACAGGCTCTCTCACTTTCTCTACTTCATTCCCAGCACCAATAGCTTTGGTGTGTTCAAGTGTCTATTGTCTGTCTCTGCACGCAGCGCCCGAATGACCTAGAAGATCCCTCAGGCAGGATCCTTGTCTGATACTTCCTTGCTGAGTCCCCAGTGCCTAGAATAGGAGTGAGAATGAGGCAGGCACTCTACGCGTGTGTTGACGGAATACATGGAGTGATGTCAGAAACACCCAAGGGAGAGAGAGGGCTGTCCCTCCACACAGGACGGTGCTGAACGAACGGGGACATCCGCAGGACCAGAGCATCACCTCGTGTAGTCCATGATGGTGTTCAGCCGGTGTGCAATAGTGAGCACCGTGCAGTCTTCAAACTGCGTCCGGATGGTCGACTGAATGAGGTTGTCTGTTTCGAGGTCCACGGCTGCCGTGGCCTCATCCAACACGAGGATCTTGGTCTTCCTCAGCAGAGCCCGGGCCAGGCACACAAGCTGGCGCTGCCCGACGCTTGACCGAGAGAAAAAGACCAGGAGACAGAGGGTCAAAACCATCCCTGACCCTGAGCCCAGGCAGGAGCTGGGAGTAGAGAGAGGGGACACTAGGAGCTGCCAAGGCCAGAGGAGCCCGGCTACTCCCCGGTCCCCGCGCCTGTGCCCTCAGCAGACCTCAGTGACTGCTTGGGACGTTCTCGCCATGGAGCTAGAGTGGGGCTCTCAGCGTCATGTTCAGAACAGGGCTCAGAAGGGAGCAGCTCGGCATGGGCAGTGTGAAGGGTAACCAAACGGCCCCATATCTGTGCTTTCTGTAGGGCCCTCCCCATTGACTCCGGACTCAACACGTGTCTTGCTTTGGCCGACGGGATGCCGGCAAACGAGGCCAGCGGAGGCTCGCAGAGGGACTGCCCTCCGGGGTCCGCTCACTCCTGCGCCTCCGCCATCGCCGTGACCACACACCTGGGCTGGTCGGCTGGAGGATGAGGGACGTGTGGAGCCGACCCGATCTGCCCCAGTGGACCCCCAGCCCTGGGAGTGAGCCGAGAACTGCACGGCCGCCTGGCAGTGACCCTCCCCAAGGGCCTTAAGTGTTGAACACGTCTGAGGTGTGGTGGGTGGTTGTCACAGGGATAGATGAGGCACGGGGGACGCTGGAGCACGACTTGGGCTCCCTGCGCCACCAGGCAGTGATACTTCAGTTGCTGGGTCATGGGGGGCATCCTGGGGATCCTGGGAGAAGGCCCAGAGCAGCGGGTGGCGACTCGGAGAGCTCAGAAATTTACTGAGCAAGAGAGAAGCTTTTCAATAGGTGAGCAACTAATAGTCACACTCCATCGACTAAACCTGGCGTAAGAAAGGAACCACACTGGCCATCCCGGTTTTATACCTCACGATACCATGAGCCTGGACTGAAGCCCACTTTACAGATGCTGAAGTTGAAGCGACAAGAAGGGAAGAGAAAATGGCTCATCCGTGACTCAAACCTAGGCCTGACACAGACGCAAAAGGACAGAATCTTCCAACACCTCGATGGAGGCAGAGCTGAGGAGACCCAGTCAGGGCCTCGCACCCCTGCTTCTTACCTCAGGTTCTCCCCGCCTTCCGCACACTCGTGGTTCAGCTTGTCGGGAAGGGCGGACACGAAGTCCTTCAGGTGAGCCAGCTCCAGGGACGTCCACACTTCCTCATCCGAGTACTGGGTGAACGGGTCCAGGTTCATGCGGAGGGAACCCGAGAACAAAACAGGGTCCTGTCCGGGGAGAAGACAGCAGACGGCAGGTGAGGCTCACGTCACGATGCTTGCACCCGGTGCAAACAGGCGTGACGTGAACAGCTCTGGCCAGAATCACTCAAGGTGGGGTTCCAGGGTTCCTCGGAATCGCGATTTCCGGAGATGTTAGTAATGCGAGGGGAAGGCTTGGAAAATCCTGGGTTAAGTGAAATAAAATACATTTCTTTTGGCCAAACTTCCTGGAGTCTCCAATACATGGAACCTTCTGACTGGGAGAAGCAGCGTAGATAATTCCTAATCATAAAGTACTGTGGATTCCTCCCCGTTCCCTGCCTCCGAAGGAGAATCTCAGAAGAAATTTTAGGGAAAACACCACGACAAGGCAACACGTGAGAGAATCACACCTACAGAAATCAGTGTGGAAAATTCCTATTTCTCGCCTGGCTCTTAAGAACCTTATTCTTGTCCTGAGCGGAGCCAGCAGGAGTGAAGGAACGATGCCTGGTTAATTCCCACTGTGATTTATACACTAAGGGGAGATTCAGCGGTGAAGAAACAGTATTGGTCCAATGAGAACAATGAAAATAATAAAATAGGAATATATATACGTTTGTCCCCAATACATACGTACATCACTCTCCCCGCCCCCCACTCACTCCCTCGCTGCACCCAGACCCCACCTGTGGGATGATGGTGATCTTGAAGCGCAGATCGTGCAGGCCGATCTTGGCAATGTTGATGTCGTCGATAATGATCTCCCCCTCTGCGGATTCATTGATTCGAAACAAGCCCAGGGTGAGGGACGACTTTCCGGCTCCCGTCCGCCCCACGATGCCAACCTGTGGGACAGGAAAGGCCCAGGGTGAGGTGGGGATGCTGGTGTCTGGGGGTTACCCCTCGCCTGTTCCCCATACAGGGCCCACATTTCAGATGTCTACCCTAAAGCAGTTCAGTCCTCTGGTCAACCCGATGTCCGCCACACAGCTCTCCCAGTCAGCAGCTTCCCAGGGCCCCCTTCAGGGTCAAGAAGGGCTTCCTTCTCTAAGCCACCTCATTTTGTAAATTAAAATATTTGGCTCTTTTGATAAGTTAGTACAGACCTCCCAAAGAGACAGGGCTCTGGCAGAAGGGATTTTCAAGAAAGCCCTATTATTTTCAACTCTAGGTAATGTTAATAATCGGGTATTCCCCCCTGCCATACTGTTTTTCAATCCTTTGATGATGAGTTTCCCATCCTGAGCTGTCCAGCATCTCAAAGACTCAGGCTGAACCCCTGTACACCTCCTCCCTCCATCCCGGCTGCAGGACCCACAAGAGGTTATGGACAGGACGCAGTTTCCACTCATCCTCTCCTCAGGAAATGGGGCTCCCTGCTCAGTGGCCAACGACTAACATTCCTGACATCCAATTACACCTCTTCCCTCCTCGTCTGGTCTCTTGAAAAGCAGGCTCCCTCCAGCCTCTAACAGGAATGTCACACAGCGGAGTCTTGTGATGGGATGTAAGTCACAGAGCGTTAGCGAGACCACCACCTGCTCTGTTCGTCCCCTTGGTGTAAGTGAGAGAGATTTCTCATGGGAACGAAACATTCTGAGCCTCAGGGTAGGAACGGTTTAGCAAACACATATGTTCAGAGGTGTCTGCATGGCTCAGTGGGTTAAGCCTTTGCCTTCGGCTCGGGTCATGATCTCAGGGAGCCTGCTTCCCCCTCTGCCTGCGTCTCTACTTGTGAGCTCTGTCAAATGAAATAAATAAAATCTTTAAAAAGAGAACACATATGTTCAGAGATTAAAGAAACTCTGTCCTCTGGCAGACAGCCAGGAAGACCCTTCATCTGTTTCCTAAGGAGGGTCTCAAGGTCTCAGAGCAAGGACATCTTCCAGGAACAACTTGGGACTAGGGATATATTCCAGAATTCTGACAACTTCACATGTTCACTAAGCCGTCCCTAGTAGTGACGATGGCATCTTTCTATTCTAGAGGTGGCAAACCCAAATGCCCATGGGGGCCAAGTAGGCACATAAGTGAGATGGGGAGGGGCTGCGTGAGCTGGGAGGTTCTCGTCTTGTCTAGAAAGAACCAGGCAGGGAGTATAAGCCCCATGTTGCTAGATGTTCGATCTTTCAAAAAAGCAGGAAATTAGGGGTGCCTGGGTGGCTCAGTCGGTTAGGCATCCAATTCTTGTTTTCAGCTCAGGTCATGGTCTCAGGGTCATGTGACTGAGCCCTGCAACCCACTTAATACTCTCCCTCTGCCCTTCCTCCCACCAGCAGCGGACATGCTCACTCACTCACTCAAGAAAAAAAAAAAAAAAAAAAAAAAAAAAAGGCAGGAAATGGATCTTTATCTAAGACATACCAGATTCTTCAGTATTTGCAATGTATTCAAATTTTTTCAAAACTTACCTGCGGGCCTCATCTGGCTCTCTGCTGACAGTACGTAATGCGGCCGGGACACTCTAGTGCTTCTGCTTCCACAAAGCCCCTGCCAGAAAAGGCCACTCCAGCCCCATGGAGTTGGGACTGTGAGAAACCGGGGAAACAATGTGCCTGGTTGCAAGCGACGCCCTGCTGTGAACGGTCAGGGGGACGAGGCGCACCCACCTTTTCCCCTCCATCGATGGTGACATTGATGTTCCTGAGAACCAAGTCCAGGTTTTCTCGGTAGCGCAGGCCATAGTCTCGGAATTCCACTCGGCCCACCTGAGGCCAGGTGCTGGGTGGAGTCATCTCCGGGACTCGCCAGGGAGCCTGGGGGGGTGGTAAGGAATTGGGTGTTGGGGAAGGAGTCTTAGGTCTGCCTCAGGAGCCTCAGGGCTACAAGAGAGGCGGCGACACATCCCCTCTGACCTCCTCTCCCTCCCCTGGCTCACTCTGCTCCCCACGCACCTGTGTGCCCCGCTTCTGGGCCTCTGCACCCTCCTCAAACTCCCCTCTGGGCATGCTCCCTCACGTGCTGATTTGGGCCATGCAGAGCTCACCCTGGCTCTGTGCCCTCGATCCCCAACCCTGCTCTGATCTCCCTCAGACCACGTGGCACCTCCTAGCACTGGAGGTGTGCTTTTATTTGCTTATTCTGTTATCCATGATCCCTGGAACATCCACCATATGCGGACGGGTTGGTTCACTGTTCACTGCCACACTCCAGCCCCCGCAACAGCACACAGCAGGGGCTCCATGAATATTTGTGGACTGAATCAATGAAGGAGCGGTCCTCTCTGACAGGCACAAGGGTAGAGGTTTTACTCTGGGTGCCTCCTATATTTGGAGGACAAAGCAATGGCTAATGCTTTTAAAGATTACTATCACGTGACCTCATTTAATCCTCACTACAGTCCCATGAGTGGGGTCCTTGCATATGAGGAAATGGACACAGAGAGGGTACGTAACTTGCCCAGGGTCACACAGCCCTTATTTCTGAAGAGTTTCTTAGCTAAATTCAACACTTCCTGAGAGCTACAACTGGATATGCTCGGGGCCAGGATCAGGGGTAGCTTTGGGGAAAATGAGGAACAGAGAGGATGAAAGAGAGCTTTCATCCTTTCTCCCCCATAAACTTGCTATATTAAATTTTTTTTTTAAGTGTATTTCCCTTTTATAAATTTAGGTATATAAAGGAAGGGGATAAGCTGTAAGAACATGGAGGGCACTGGAAGGAAGTGGATGGAACTTTCTAACTGGGAAAATACAGTCTTTATAAACAAATAAATAAATATTTTTAGTAGTGGTAAGACCCTGGATGAGCTCTGCTTTCTTTTCTATTTTTCAAATATGTTCTTATCCTAAAAACATAAAAATAATCAAAAGAAATAAAAACATGGTACTTTTTAAAAAATAAATTTCATTTCATACTTTACATGATGCACTGCATGGCATGTGAATTACATCTTAAAAATGTAAAAAAATAAAATCAGTAGAGTGGGAAAACCCCTGGTGTAATACATACTTATTTCCTCAGGGGGCGCTCACACCATCCTGAATGATGCTCTCTGATGAAGGGGGACTGGGCTCACCCTTGTGAGAGTGTGAACGACAGGGCATCGCTCACCTCTGTAGATCCCTCAAGACAGTTTACCCAGGGCCGTGGTCTCATTCCCAAGGGGCACGTTCTTGGGAGGCAGTGTGCCAACGGCACAGAAGCAAATTCTGGGTCGGCCATTTACCAGCCATTTAATCTCAGGCAAGTAACTTAACCTTGTGCCTCAGTTTCCTCATCTGTAAAATGGGGTCACGACAGAACGGAAGTTACGAGGCTACAGAAAGGTTGTATGAATTATTCCATGTCAGATGTGTGCTTCAGGGCCTGAGGCCCCTCTGAGGGCACAATACGGGTTGCTGTCATTACAGGTGGTGGCGGGGGCAGAGGTGTCTCTCTAGGCATTACTGTCACTATCGTTATGATCACTACCATCGCAGGCAGAAATAGGCAGTTTCTGAGGACAATGCGGCACTGAAGTCTGGACACTGGGGTCCTACTCCCAGCCGTTCTGACTGCATGTGACCTTGGGTCAGCCACTTTTCCTTCCTAGGCCACACTTTGCTCCATCTATAAAATGCAGACCTTGGTTGAGCAAGAGCAGGGTTCCCCCAACTTAGGTCAATTCCTTGCCACCGTCATCATTTTTACAATAGGCATGTACTGAGCCTCTGGTGAGTGAATTTCCACGCTCTGTATCACCTCTCGGGTGCTCAATTCTTAAACTTCAAAGAGGAAACAAATGTCTCATTTTCCCTAACAGCAGCCCCCACACAAATACGTGACAAGTAACAGAAGACGATTTTTGTCGAGCAGAGGCTGCCTGTCGAAGGCACGCCGGCTATGGCTCTGCGGATGGTCTGGGTTAAGTCACACCGAAGAGGTCAGGAGAGGCCAGGCCGGCTGCTGCCTTTACCTCCTTCTCCGTCTCTGAATACTCCTTCAGCCTCTCCACCGCCACGATGTTGGTCTCCATCTCGGACGACATGCGGACCAGCCAGTTCAAGTACGTGGTGACCTGTGGGTGAGCTTCTAGAGTGAGCACGAGTTGCATTATCTTTGGGAAGTAATTACGAATTACAAAATGCCCTAGGTAAAATAGGTCCAGAAAACATGAACCTCATGTATCGCCATCACCCTGACGGGCTACACTGTGCCTCGTAAGGAAACACGTTTCAAAATAAGCCCTGGGCCATACAAGTCATCAGAAACGTCATCAGAAAATATTCTGAACTAGATGGCAAAAGGAAAATACCACGTATCCAAATTTGGGTGCCCAAGCGAAGGCCGTGATGGGAGGGCGAGTCACAGCTAGAGCAGCATTCTTCCTGTAGCTGGGGACACCCTGGCAGGCCATCACGGGTTTTCCTTGACTCAGGGGAATCCTGGCCACATGTCTCCCTTCCACCCCAGCACCACTGGGTCACTGGGCTTCTCAAACGCCGCTCGGCCTCCAGCGGCTCCCCCAGCTCCTGCCCGGATTCAAAGCAAAGGCCCAAGAATCCGACAACTGACCCCCCCAAGAAGAAAATCCGAAAATCTGGCTGAGAGCACCCCCTTACCTGCAATGAGTATGACACAGACAGGCCCACCAAGCCGGCGCTGAGACTGTGCCTGGAGATCACGGCGAACAGGGCAGCGAACAGGACGATACAGTTGCCTACACACTCCAGCCGCACGGCCAGCCACCTGCCCGCAGACACACAGGTGGAAAGACAGACACACAGAGACCTGGAGTCAGCTTTCCAGAGTTTCCGGTTTCTGGTTCATGTGGGCGGGGTGGGGGTCACTTTGCTAACTGCCGTAATTCCCCGAGAGTTCCTGAGAAAAGCTCACAGGGGAAGGACGGCCAAAGGGACACGGCCTCGCTACTTCCTCATTAGTCCGATAACCCCAGGGATCGAAAGTGAGTTCTCTAGAAGCCGACTTCCCAGGAAAGTGAAGCTTGTCCTGGTGAGAACCAACTTTTTCTCACTGAAAGCTTTAAAATATATCCATATACACCCATCTTTAAAATGATGTCCGGGAAAATTCCTAAATTCCTAAGAAGTCATCAACTGTAAGAGGCACCACTGATTTAAAATAACCGTCCCTTGGGGGTACCAGCTGGTGATCTCACAGAGCGAGATCCGTGGAGTGTGCGACTCTTGATCTCGGGGTCATGGGTCCAAGCCCCACAGTGCGTGTAGAGGTTACTTTAAAATAACCTCCTCTTGGTAGGAAAGGGGGGAGGGGGAGAAAAGCTACTATTTTCAATGTTGCTCTAATGTTCCCAGAGCCACATCATCCCCCTTGTAGACATGTTAAAATGGATTATTTCACCTTTGGAAGTATAAACAGATATATCACTGGTTTAAAGCTAACTTCTGTAAGATATCACATGGCGTTAGGAATATTAATATTTCAAGGCGTGAAGCACCTTAGGGAGAGATGGGGGTGTCGATCTTTTTGTTACATACAGCCCTTCGGATTCACAAGACTGATCTTCGCGGGTGTGTAGCTTCTCCCAAAGACAGAGCCAGATGTGACCCACGCTCTAAGGATTCTGCAGGGAAGGCGGGGTCTCCAACAACTCATGGTCTCCTCGTCTTACGTTACAGGGTGATACTGTGTATGACGGGGCTGACGGCTGGTTAGGATGGGAAGCTCCCAGGGTGCTGTCACCCCCTCCCAGAATCTTTTATACCACGTGTCAAAACACGTATGAGGACATCAGTGAGGAGGATACTCTTAGGGATCAGACACTTCTCTGCATTTAGCCAACAAGGAGCAAACTTCCATCCCATCTTTTCCATCGATGTTATCCATCCACTCACGATCTTCGGGGCACAGCAATTTCAGGGGGGCCAACAACCTAAGACTGGGGAATGGCTTCCCATGCTCATCACACAGGGGTACGGTGGGGGTGATCCCCTCTCGGCCAAGAATCAGGACACAAAAATACTGGCTGAGTCTGCCCACTGCGGGCGATCTTACGTCATCAGGACAACAGCGAACGGGTAGTTCTGGCAGTGTTTCCTGACTCCAGGACAACATGGTCCCGGCCCTCACTCAACACTTGGAGCTGAAGTGCTCCCGTCTGCTCTCAGGGGTCACTGCGTCCTGTCCCGAGCCTGGCTTCACACCCTCCTCCTCTAGGAACGAGGGCGGAGTTCTCAGGCCTCCACCTGCCGCTGCGGGGCCGCGCGTGCCCACCTGTTGGCCACGATGCTGGGGTAATAGGCCTTCTGGTTCTCGTCCACCTTCAGGTCACTCTGGCGGATGAAGCGCTCCTGCTCCTCGAAGGCGCGGATGACGCTGACGCCCAGCAGGGTCTCGTTGAAGTGGGAGTACACCGGGGAGCGGCTCACCGACTCCAGGCGCTTCAGCTGCCGCGACGAGGCCACGTAGAACCTCTGGGGGAAGAGAACGGACCAGGCAGTGGGCAAAGCCCCTCTCATGCTGCAGGGTCCCCCGAGCTGCACTGGAGAAAGCCTGGACCTACACGATACCTCCAGGAGGTGACATGTGGGAGAGGGGTGCTCGCCACATGCACAGAGGTGACAGTGACAGCAGCTAACACTCATGCAGAGCTCACCCTCCTAGCACAGTTTTTAATTTTTTTTTCAAAGATTTAATTTATTTGTGAGAGAGAGAGCCCACATGCTGGGGCAGAGGGAGAGGGAGAAGCAGGCTTCCCGCTGAGCAGGGAGTCTGCTGCGGACTCGATCCCAGGACCCTGAGATCATGACCTGAGCCGAAGGCAGACGCTTCACCGACAGAGCCAGCCAGACGCCGCAATCCTAGCACAGTTCCAGGTAGTTCCAGACATCGGCTCATGGGACTCGAACCAGAAATCCAGCAGGTGCTCATTCCTGCTGACGCTCAGTAAACCAGAAAAGAAGCTCGCTACGCTCTCCCCTCAGGTCACGCGGCTACCAGTGGCCGAGCTGGGGTCTGGCCTCAGAGAGCCCGGCTGTGAGGTGCGACAGTGTGCCTGATGCCACTCATCTCGGGGGCTGGATGGCCCCAGCGGCGGGCTTTGGGTACAGGTTTGGAGGATATCCAGGCCTCCACCTGACCCCGTGGGCAGACGCCCATTGGCTCTGCTCCTGCCCTAACCAGGCCAGATGGAACAGAAGCAACTCGCCCCCTGGAAGCTTCGAGGAGCCATGTACAGAGCGTGGCCTGGTCCTCCGAGAACACTGAGTTCTCGTGGCCTTGGTCTGCCTGTCAGTACACACAGACCGGTGTCCCCGTTCCAGAGGTGCTCAGGATCTCACGTAAATGCAGCCGCCCCACAAGCGGCAGAGCCAGACAGCTGAGCAAGACCCAGAAACACAGGGTGGCCAGGGACACGGCCTCCCTGCCTCCCGGGGCCGCTCTGGGGTGGAGACCTTCCACAGAGAGCAGGAAACCTGTGTGGGGGCTCTGAGGTCAGCAGCTTCCTTCCGGATGGCAGCACACATGGTAACTGGCACCCACACCTGGGTGGCCTTCGGGGCCCCGGCAACTCTGTCAGCTAACCCAGGCCCACGCCAGCCCGGGCAGTCCCAGGATGGTGGCTCTGCCAGCCCCTGAGGACAGGTCAGGTGACAGCTCACTGCCATGAACCAACTCTGGACGCCTTGGCCCTACGGGATCTGCCCCGTGACCATCAACCGTGACGCCTCCTCCCTCTGGCTTTCTTTCTAAATATCCCGGATGGAAATCATTCCCGAGACTCTTCCCTGTTCAACTTACCCCACTTCTCCTGTGCTCAGAATTTTTACGACAGGAAGCTAACATGAGATGTATTTGTGTTTAAACTCAGTTTTTTAAAAAAAGAGCAACTGTTAGCTTCCCTTTTAAACTCCATTCCAAGAGATGTAATTCACGCCCCAGACTCACCTCACTCTTTCAAAGACCAAGGGCCCCGGTGCTCGTGGGTAGGAGGAATGCTCGACACACCCCTGCCTGAGCCATGCAGTGCGCTGGGAGCTAAGTTATTGGACCTGTGGCCAGGAGGTTTTCACGGACGCCAAAACAGCTCACAAACCAGAAATGTCTCCTTCAGGCAACAAGGTAGCCCCAACACAATTCCACATTGTCCTACCTCTTGTATCACCTTTATATAAAAATGACTTGCTTCTGAATTAAAACAGTAATGGATACCATTTCAACAGTGGGGAGGGGATGACACAGATTAAATAAAAATTAAATTACTGGGGTGCCTGGGTGGTGCAAACAGTCAAGTATGCAACTCTTGGTTTCGACTCAGGTCATGATCTTGGCGTCATGGGATCAAACGCTACATCGGGCTCTGTGCTCAAGGCAGAGTCTGGTTGGGACTCTCTCTCCCTCTCCCGGAGTCCCTCCCTCCCAGTCTCTCTCTAAAATAAATAAATTTAAAAAAATTGTATTATATCCATTACTCTGAAATTCATTCCAATCTCAGTGTAAAACCTTTAGGTCTTTTCTGATGAAAGACAGAGAACGTATGTACATCTAAACCCCACTTTTCCCTCAAGATACATACATTTACGTTACACTGGAAAATGCATCCAAATCTCCACGGCTTGGTGAATTTTGTATTTATTTACACCTGCACACCCACTACCTGACCAAAATCTACAACATCTCTAGCATCCCAGAAAGTTCTTGTGACTTCCGGGTCAAAAACCCCAAGCTGTTTCTCGTTTGGGGCTATCATAAACCAACATGCTAAAAATATTCTAGCACCTTTTTTTTTTCCTGGTTGCATTCTCATTTCTTTTGCTTATACACGAAAACGAGAAGCCTGCTGGGTTGTAGGGTAAGGATATATTTAGTTAAAAGCCATTAAAGAAAACTACACTCGGGGCACCTGGGTGGCTCAGGTGGTTAAGTACCCAACTCTTGGTTTCAGCTCAGGTCATGATCTCAGGGTTACGTGACTGAGCCCCACGTCAGGCTCCATGCTCGATATGGAGTTTGCTTTAGACTCTCTCCCTCTGTATTTGCCCCTCCCCGCCACTCGCACACACACTCTCTCAAAGAGATACATGAATCTTTAAAAAAAATAAGAAAATAAAAAAATTCTTTCGTAATCCCAGCCCTTAGAGACACGATGTTTTCCTTTTGCTGTTTCCCTTTTCAGCCGTCACACGTGCTCTATGCCTGCTTAGTTGTAATGACAGGGCATATATAGCAGGACCCTTTGCTGAACTGTCCTGGTTGTTTAAAAATAATACCAACGTTATACCAACAGCATCTCCCTCATCGTCCTGCTAACAGACAGCAGATCCCGTCACAAAATGGCTGTACAGGGGCTCAAGGTCCTGCTACCGGCAGCTTCGTGAGCTGCTGTAAATGCAGCTTGTGGCCCGTCTGGTTCTTCTGAACTGGGTCCCTCAGGGAAATGCACGGCGAGGGTATGAACACGGGCCATATTTCTAGCAAATGCAGCAGGATGAAGTTTCTAAAAAAAGCTGGCACCAATTTAAGGATAACACAACGAGGGTGCGAGAACCAGACTTGCTTGCTGTGGTTCCACCTGCGTTTCTGCTCCCCAACCACTGGTCCGCAGCGTGGTGGAGTGTGGGGGTGTGGAGGGCTGGACCAAGGCCTCCAGACCCGGCACGAGCAGCCACAGTGCAGCCTGAATACGGAGCGCTTCGCGGTTCTCACTCCTCCTCCGGGCTGCAGTTACTAGGCTCCCATCTAAACAACTGACCCCTGGCAACTGTGCTGCTGCTAAGCTTTTCAGGGCAAAAAGGGGCAGTGCAGCATTGTGGTCACCAACACAACAGAGAGACGTGAGTTCGCACTCCCAGCTCTGCCACCAGGGCCTCGACAGGCTCACCTACAGCTGCAAGCACCGTTTATGCTGCAGTAACCTAAGGGGCCACAAGGACTCAGCGGTCACATGCTCCCTTTCCTTGGTCTTGTTTTCTGAACTACAGATTGATGGGTGGAGCTTCAGCAGCTGCCATGGGCCAGGAGATCAACTTAAGAATGAAGGCTTATGTGAGGACGGGAGAACAAAAAAAAGCAGTGATATTAACAGTCCAGGATAGTAAGAGACTTGTGGAACTGCTGTACCAGCCCTGAACAGCCCACTTCTACATTTCTACCGGGAGAGAGAAAGACAGATGTCTATCCTGCTTAAGGTGCTGTTGTCCACATCTCCACTTTCTGCAGGGGGCCTACGACCTAAAGAATTTCATCACTCTTAATTTTAATAATCAATTTTAATAGTATTATTGCGGGGCGCCTGGGTGGCTCAGTGGGTTAAAGCCTCTGCCTTCGGCTCAGGTTATGATCCCGGGGTTGGGGCATTGAGCCCCACATCGGGCTCTCTGCTCAGCGGGGAGCCTGCTTCCCTTCCTCTCTCTCTGCCTGCCTCTCTGCCTGCTTGTGATCTGTCAAATAAATAAAATATTTAAAAAAAATAGTAGTATTATTGCTATATGCTATTTTTGTTATTATTATAAATTATATATATATACATATATATATATATCTCCTCTCTGATAGGTATTTAGAGCTGACAAAAACAATCCAACCCTCCTCCAGGAATCCCCAACAACTCCATGGCGGAGAAATAGTCAGATGAAGCGAGCCCTTAGCTCACACGGAGAAGCGTACACGGCAGGGCCCCTCCTGCTCCCCGAGACCCCACCGCTCACCTGGACAAAGAAGTAGATGAGGCCCAGTGGCGGGATGATGATGGCGGCGATGGGCGTGGCCAGCAGGATGATGATGCAGGCGCCGATGACGTTGAACAGGGAGCCCATGAACATCTTGATGACCTGCGGGATCATCGAGTCCACCGTGTCCAGCTCCTTGGAGAAGCGGTTCACCAGGTTCCCGCTGGGGGTGCGCTCGAAGAAGCTCATGGGGGACCGGAGGACGTTGTGTAGCAGGTCCAGGTGCAGGCGGCGGGAAGCGAAGATGCCCCCGATGGACACCACCATGGAGTAGCCGAACACCGAGATACCTACAAACACTCTCATGGTAAACGCCGTAATGGGACACGGGCGGAGCGGGGGCAGGGAGGAGTGGCCGCCCGGACTCTCAGCTTCTAAGAATGACGACGACGACGAAGAGGACAGCAGTGGCTACTGCTTACTGAGGACTCACTATAGATTCAACACTATGCAGGAGTTTTACGTGAATCTACTTCTCACACTGACTCTATGTAAAGCCTCTCAGCACCCATTTTATGGAGGACACTCAAGGTCAGACAGGTGAACTCCTTTGCCCTCGACAGAGTCAGCCAACCGGCAGCAGAGCTGCGGCTCCGATCCAGGCAGCTGCTCCAAGGTCATGCTCATATTCCGTGTCCCACACTCCTCCAGGCCAGTGCCATGCAACAGAACTTTCTGTGATGTATTTCTAAAATGGGGGAAACGGTAGCTGCTACCTCTCGGCCCTGGTCTGCAAAAACCCACGGAAGTGTCCAGAACATAAGCAGACACTGAGGAAGGGCTCACAGCGGCTGTCACTATTAACGCTGCTGTGTTTGGGGACTTTAATGGGCCCACAGGAAGGGTAAACAGGGTTTCTCAATTTCATCACGGCTGACATTTGAGGCCAGATCATCCTCTGTTATGGGGGCTGTGCTGTGCACTGCGGGCCACCCGGCAACATCCCTGGCCTCTGTATGCCAGGAACACCACCTCCAATCAAAGTTGTGATGGCTCTAAGGACCTCCAGACATGGCTAGATGTCCCCGTAGGACAGCACAGTCTGCACCGAGAACCACCAGAGTGCCCCAATTCCCATCCTCAGATGGCACAGAGAAGCCCACAAATTAAGAGTCTACAAAAGCCCCCCACAGAGCAACAAGGGGCGAGGGGGCATTGCTCGCCAATGCTCCAGGGCGGGGCGGGGGGGCTGCCGTTCTCAACTTTGCTCATCTGTGAAATGGGCATGTCAAGAGCTTCTCTCCATCTCCTAGGGGCCCGTGAAACAAAGCATTCAAGAAATATTCACTCTGTAAGTATCTGAGTGTCTACTAAGGGACAAGTACTGTTCATGTGAGTTTGGCTTAGTTTGAGGGGTCCAGAAAACACTCACAAATGGGGAGATTAAACTCCATAACAAGACATGGAAGAAACCGTTCCAAGTGTTCAAATTGGCCAGGGGAGGGGCCCTCACCTTGCGAAATGCCCAGGGCTCCGTAGACGCTCAGCCGGACTTTAGTGTGCTCCTGGGTCCCGTTGACGATGGGGTCATCGGTCCAGAGGCTGAGCCAATAGTTAGAGGCCAGAGCAGCAACGTGGTTACACAGGAAAAGGAAGATGCTCAGAAAGGAGATGAAAAGTCCGATCGCCTTCATGTAGTCCCAGTACACAGACAGCTTGACCTGCAGAGCAGGGGAGAGAAGGCTTCTGCAGGTGCTCCCGCCACGCACCCTCGAGGGCAGGCACTCCAGCAGCAGCTGGGCCATCCTGTCCCCCCCAACCCCCGCCTACACTCGTACTCATGGCACATCCCCCTTAGTTACTTGACAAAGTCAGCAAGAGATAAAGTCAAGGTCTCTGCCCTTATGGAGCTCCTAGTCAAGTGGCAAGACAGGCTTTCCACGACCAGATCAACGCATAATTACAGAGCAGGGCTGGCGCCGTGCAGGATTCCATATACATCCAGGCAGATCCAAGAGAAGCATCCTGACCTCTCCTGTTCCTGCGCCACCTCTCAGGGGTGGCTTGTTTCTGTGTGTACTTATTCTTCTTTTAAATGTTCTATTCCCTATTTTTTTTTTAAACATACCACATGCATTTTTAAAAATAAACTTGGGATCATTACCATAAATGGAAAATTACTGACACGTGCCCAAAATAGAGGACTGTAAAACAAATACAATAAAACAAGAGCTTGAAACCAATTCTCCAGGTGACAGAGAGAAGCTGGCGATTTCTTAGCACTATGGACTTGAACACCATGTCCCTCCAAGTTTGTGTGTTGGGACTAACCTCTGGTGTGATGTACGCAGAGGAGGGGCCAGTGGGAAGTGGTCAGATCGTGAGGATGGAGCCCTCACGTAGGGATTAGTGCCTTTAACAAAGGGGCTCCGGAGAGCTCCCTGACCCCTTCCCGACACTGAGGACACAGGCAGCAGACGGCGGTCCCTGAGCCTCCCTCAGAGCGAGCCCTCGCCGGGCGCCACACGTGCTGGCCAGCCTCCAGGAAGTTTGGGCAATAAAAGCGGGTTGCTCCTGAGTCACCCGGCCCATGGACTTCTGTTAGAGCAGCCCCAATGGACTGAGACACGCAAGAAAGATAAACGGGCACCGAACTCAGACTTTCTCACATTGCAATCGTTAGGGCTGCAAGAGAAACGGAAGCACACGAATCCCACCACACACATTACGTGTGCGCGCACGTATGCACACGTGCACACACACGCGCACACACAGTCACACGAGGTGAAGTGACAGAGGGGTTATCTCTCAGAGAACTTCATCTGATCTACAACTTCCCGCACCGTGGGAAGGCATGATATAAAGCACCCGGGTTACCCATAACAAACAGAAGCCCCCAGCCGCTCGGAGGTGGTGGCGGTCAGTACGGCAGAAGCTCCAAACACCAGCCCTGGAGTTAGACCGCCAGGGTTCCCATTCTAGCTCTGCTGCCCCTTGACTGTGACCTTGGGCAAGTCATCTAGGCTCCGCCGCCTGTTTCCGGCACGGGAAAAGAGCACTTGCACAGGCTCGTGGACAGACAAGATGCAACATCAACAAAGCGTTCTGCAAGGACCTGGTGTGCAGTGACAGGGGCCACAGCCCTCACCGGGGCAGCCGGCCCTCACCTGCCCTGTTTGTGCCTTGTCTGCCTCCACCAGCTTCCACGCGTCCTCTTTCTTGGCCCCGGCTTTCTGCAGCTCAGCTGTGCTGGTGTGGTGGTGGCTAATGTCCCCGCTGTAGGAGGAGGAGTTGCTGAGCTGTCTGGGGAAACCAAGGCACATGGGGTCATCAGCTTTATACAGATCAAGACACATTACCGCAGATCACGTGGCCCCAAGCTCTCTTTGGAGACCTCCTCGAGCCAGTACATTCGCCTGGGGATTTGTAACCCTGGTGAATGACACGGGTGGATGGGGGTGTGCTGTGTGCACACGTGTGGGCATACGTGTAGGAACACCCTCTCTCGGCCACGGCTCAGACCCACAAGGGCAAAGGGACGGGGTGTGACTTCCATCCTGCTTTCTAACGCTCCCTTTCGCCTTCTTGGTTTGCATGTGCCAATGAAGCAAGCTCGCAGGCTGGAGGCCCAGGATGCTGGGAACAGGGGGGTCCAGTTAGGAAGTGAGGACGGTAATACAGGCCCCAAGGAATGGAATCCTGCCAACAGCCATTTAAGCTTCGAAGCGGATCCCTCCCCAGCCCTGTCTTCAGATGAGGCCCCAGCCTGGCAGACACCTACTGCGACTTGTGCAAGGCCCAGAGTGGAGAAGCCAGCTGAGTTGTGCCCAGACTTCCGAAGCCACAGACTTCGAAGTCATCTGTTACACAGCAACAGATATGCCCAGTGCTCCCTGTGCTTGTGCTCAGTCCACGCACAGTTCTCCCCAGCCAGCCTCCCACCGTCACCTGCCCCTAGGTCCCAGGACCACTTGGAGGTGCTGTCTTTTCTCGGTTTTCCTAGCAAATTCTCAGAAAACAGCAACCATGACTGATCACACTGGCCACCTGCCTGAATCCCGGCAGTGCTCCTGCACGCCCTGGGCAAGACCCTATTCTACGTGATTCACACACATACACCCAGCTCACCACCTTGACAGGTGCACCAACAGAGGGGGAAATACTTCCACCTATCCCATAAGGTAAAAACCAGAGTTGGGCGCCTGATCCTTGGTTTCAGCTGAGGTCATGATCTCAGGGTACTGAGATCGAGCCCCACATCGGGCTCCGTGCTAAGTGCAAGGTTTGCTTGAGGTGCTCTCCCTCTGTCCCTCCAAACTTTCTTCCTCTGCCCCACTAGCTCTCTCTTTAATAAACAAAATCTTTAAAAAAAAAAATCAGATTCTAGGAGGGTACCGTGGGCAGTAAGGGCAGAGCTGCTCACGCCAGTTTCGTCTGGGTTCGTCCCCAGCCTCATGTCTGTGAAACCTCCTGACACCAGGAAGTAACTGCAGGCAGCCCCAGCACGTGCAGTAATGTGAGTGCTCTCTACTGGGTGCTGAGGGAGGAAAGTACTGTGCTAAGTGTGTCACATGCACTATGCATGGAGTCTGACCCCCACCCCCCACAGCCCTCTGCGGTAGGCACACCACAGACCCTATCTGACAGGTAAGGAAACAGGCACAGAGCGGGTAAGCCACAAAGTCCACAGAAAGCTGCCCACTAAATCCTTAATTATCTAGCTGAGAGCAACCTCCTTTACAGCAGCAAAAGCAACAGAACTTCGGAGCTCTGGCTCAGAGGCAGGGCTTGGGTTCAAGTCCAAGCTCAGCTTCCGTGTGGCTGCATGACTTGGGGAGAGCACTCCACTTGCTCACCTATCAAGTGGGTAGACAGGAGTCACCACCTACAGGTTCAAGAGACTGCACAGGGCTTAGCACCGTGCCTGGCTCCAAAGGGTGCATAGAGCGTCATGATCACTACTACTATGACTATTTTGGTTCAAATGCTGGCCCTAAAGGCCTGAACACTGCAGGCCCCTCTCAATGACTTGAGCAGAGACCCACCTCTTGCAGGGACCTTGAGCGTCCCAAGTGCAGGCAGACGGTTACCTCCTGAGGCCTGTGTGAGCCGTGGCCCCCGAGAAGAGCAGTGCGGCCGCCTACCCTCCTTCGGGCCCCTGAAACTTGAGGCCCCATAGCAATTTGGGGAAGGAGGCAGAAAACCTCCGTCTTCCAGGACCCTGGGGAACTCAGGCATTCTTCAGTAGGTCACACAAGCTGCTGGTCCGTCCCCTTGTTCCTCTTCTCTCCCCGCAGGCAGGGGGCAGAAGCAGGGGCCTGCAGAGTCCACACCAACAGGTATCCCTCTCTGCTCATACCTCTGCAGCTGTTTTCCTGCGACATCCGTCACCAGCATGCCATTCTCCATCTGCTTCCCCTCCTTCCCTGGACTGCTGACACTTGTCAACCCTGGCAGGAGAGAGGAAAGGGGAAAGTTGTGGTTTCCGGAGCTGGACGCCAAGACCACAGGCATTTAGGAAAACCCGTCACTTGGATGGGACGTGGCAGATAACCTGGCCACCAGGAAGCTCAGAAAGCAAGACATGCTTGGCTGAGGCCACAGACAGGCTCCCTGCACAGGGGTAGGAGGCCTGTAGAGCCAGCTGGCTTCCGTGGAGCAGAGACAGTGACTCACAAGCATCCCGAGGGTCCCAGGAGGGTCGGGTGCTGGGCCTGAGTACGTGACTATCCCAGCGGCAGGCGACAGGTATAACACAGCTCGGCTGACAGCATCAGAGCTGCACAGAACTTAGTCCAAGGGGCCAGGATGCAAGGAGCCAGGTGGGGAAGAGCGCACAGCCATCTGGTCCCCAAGCATCCCAAGCAAGGGTGATAGTCAAGCACCCCCCAGTTTTGACAAGGGCATCAGCCAACAGGGGGGTCCCAGAGGGTACCTCGCCCTGCGTTCCAGTGCTAAGAGTTAACCCAGACCACAGGGAGGTCCAGAAGTCTGGGTTAGAGGTTACCTGGAGCACTGCCATTTCCCTCTACAAGGGGTACAGCCACCCTGAGGCACACCGGCCAGCCAGCAGCCCCAGTCCCAGGAATCATGCCCCCAGCATCAACGCTCATCCCCATAACCTCACTGACAGTGGCTAACACTGAATGAGTGGTGGCCCCGTGCTCTGCTGAAACACATCATCTCCCTTCATTATTCCAACCACTCAGGGGTGCGTTATCATTACCCCAGCCTGGCTCTGATCTCACACTGGTCCCAGGAGAGAGAAAGCCTACAGCAGAGATGTGGCGTAGGGCTCCCCAGGGCTGGCCTGGAAGAGGAGGGGAGGGTGTGCAGGGGAGAAGTCCCAGAAGGGGACTAATATGCAGCTCTGGCAGTGACAGGGCGACTCTGGGAACACGCTGACAGAACACGAACTGATACCAAATGCATAAAGACAGGCTCTTTCGGATGACCGTCACGGGAAGAAATAGAAGACGGACAGCGGGGGGTGGGGGGGGGCGCAACTCTGAACTGGTGATTTGCCATCTTGGTTGTGAACGATGCAGGCACCTGTGCACCCAGGGATGCCCCTGGCCCAGCTCTGGTCCCTGCCAGACTCTGCCTGCAGGGAGGCCAGGTCCCCACGCTGAGTCAGAGCGCAGTCAGGAATGGAGTGCTCTCTCCCTTCCTAGCTGTGTGTGGAAGGGGGGCAATAAACATCTCTGAGACTCAACTTTCACATGTGCAAAGGCCAAGTGACCACAGCTGCTCCCTTTGTAAGTGGGAGGATGAGTGAGGCCACAAGTGGTGCTTGGGAAGTGACAGGCCACGGCAGGGCTTGGCACTACTCGCCTTATTAAACACGTTCTACGGATAATTCTGGCCTGTAGCCAAGATAGAGATTCCTTGCTTTACGTGTTTCTTTTCAACGGCAGCATCTTTTCTGCTTAAATTTAGAAAAAAAGAGAACTAAACTTAACCAAAAAGAAGAATAACAACAAGCAGGACTTTCCATGCAGAAGCATGCGGTCCGGGCTCACTGCACTGGAGGCCCAGGCCTGGCCTTGACCAACTCCCTCTGTGCCGGGGCAGGGATGCTTGAAAACATTCCCAGAGACCTAGCCCCATAGCAGGGGCTCCAGAGAGCTCCTTGCTCCCACCTGGCTACGCAGGCCAGCCTCTGTAAGCTGCAGGCTTCCCTTCTGTTCCTCACTCAAGATGAGCCATAAGGTCTGTGGGAGACCTCACAGTGGCCTCCCATAACCCCCTTTCTCCACCCAATTAGCCCACAGATTGATACACTGGCGGGGACAGCTGGACAGCTGGACAATTCTCCTTTGCAAGGGGAGGGACCAAGAATCCTAGAAGGCAATGGGAACATGGGTCGATCCACCTCTCCGTCTGCCTTCTTTGCAAGGAATCAGCTCTTCCCTCTTCCTACAGTCTTGGCAGACCCAAGGTCAGTCCATCAGAGCCCCTTCCCCAGGACTATGAACCATCAGTGGCCCCAAGGACCGAAGACAGTTCCAGCGGCTCTGTTCTAAAGGTGTCTGGTTCCCGGAGTTCCCGTTTCCTGAGTCCTCCTTGTTCAGCCTGGCCTCTGATTTCTGAGTGATCTGCTTCCCCTTCCAGTAAACACCCTTGTTGAAGAGGCAGTACCGGCTTCCGTGGCTTACAAAAGAGCCCTCTGACCCTCAGCCGCACGCTGCTGCGGCAGGCAGGAGCGATGGGTCCGCTCCAGCGGTTGGTTCATGCCCTTTACCTCACCAGAGGGGGCCGGGGCAGCCTTCCACAATGAAACTCTGCTAGAAGACATCCCCCACCCCCGTCCCCCCGTGTGCCCACAGCCACCTGCAGTGATTCCATCGCCCTGTCCTACTTTGGCCTGCCGGGGTCCTGACCATGCCCAGGAGGTGACAGGGGGATCGTGATGGTCACACGGCGGGCCATTCACTGTCCGCCCACTATGTGCCAAGCATTCTGCGAAAACAATCTCCGCCAAGGCAGGCTCATCACGGCCCTCTGACCTACAGAACAGCTTAGCCCAGGCCACCCAGCTGAGGAACAAGAGATCTGGGGGTTCAGGCTATCTCCCCAAGTGCCCACTGCAAAGCCTGGCACATAGTAGGTGCCCAGAAGTGCTGGATGAATGGAAGGGGACAGAAATACAGATGGTCAAGGGCCTCTTTCTGAGCACGCAGCAACAGGCCCAGTCTGCCCACATCCTCCTCCTGCAAGCACAGCTACTTGTAACCCCCGGGTCACTGACCTTCCCCCGCCTCGGCCACCACTTGGCCACCTGAGAATTCACGAGATCCAGGAAAGTATTAAGAACCAAGCCAACACTCCCTCCTGGAACCGCCACTTAAATGCCCAGAGGGGATGGATGGAAGTCCTCTCCTAAGGCTGAGGAGCAGAGATGGCCAAGGCACCTGCCACCCTCAGTATCCCCACCCCACACGTGATGGGATGATCCCAACAAGCACACTGCACGGGGCCAGCTCTTTCGCTAACTATGATAAATGTGTTTAGACATAAGAAGATCTAGAAAAATGCAGGCCAACCCTCAGACTCTACACCTGGTTTCAAGGCAGCAGAAGGAAAAAAGTCAAGTGCTACAGCCGGGGAGGGTAAATGTGGCGGCTGGGAGACAAGACAGCACAGGCCTTGGCTCTGGCTCACAGCCTTCAGATCTTTGATGACAGATGCTGCTTATGAGAGGGGCCGGGGTTGCATGCTGCCTTCTGAGCCAGACGCACATGGAGCCAAGAAAAGGGGAAGAGAAGGTGGCTTGGCACAGATGTCATCTTGGGCCCTCCCAGGCTGGGATGAGGATGCCTTCTCAGGGTTCTCACAGCCCTCCAGGCTTGCTTCCATCACTGCGTTTAGCACCACCGCACCCTTGGTTATTTGGCATATGTCTCCCCCAATAGAGGGGAGACACCCTCAAGACTGTGAGCTTTTGAAAACAGAGTAGGTCTTACCCACTACTTTATTCTCAGTCCCAGACACATCAGATGGCCATGTGTGGTTGCACAGGATGTTCACTGTACAATCCAAGGGGAACCCTTTCACTCAGTGGCTCAAGTATCAGGTTCCCCATGGCACACAGCAGGCACTCTGTATAAACCTGATATGCACATGGACAGACTAACAAATGAATGGCCAAGTGAACAAGCAGAGCTGACCTTCCAGTGCTACAACGGGCACCCCATGGGCCACCATGATGCCATCATAAGCCCACGCCCACAAAGCCGGTTTCTAAACCAGCCCTGGAGAAATGGTAATATCAGTGCATATTTTCTTCCAACCTGAGTATTTACACAGTTGTGTTAATGTCCACAGCTTACATAGGACATGTCTTAAATAATCAAGGCATAATGTATTCATTTGTTTATTATCACACATTATACTGAGCATCTACTATTGCCAGGCACTCTTCTCTGGTCGTGGGGATACAGAGGTAACCAAAAAGCCCTCATGGAGCTTAAACTTCAAGGGAGAGAAAGAGAAAACACACAAAAGAACAGATCCACAATTAGCTGTCAGGCAATGTTCAGCGCTACAAAGAAAACTAAAGCAGAGGAAGGGGGAATTGAAGGGGGCAGGGGCTGAGGGATGGTAGACAATAGTTAAGTTTTTTTTGTTGTTGTTGTTGTTTTAAAGCAAAGGCCCAAAACTTGTCATCTAATAAATGTTTCTTGAGTGTTTCCAGGTATCAGGTGTGAGGCTGTCATGCTGAGAAGCCTGGCACTGTCCCTGCTCTTGAACCTAGTAAGTACCACTCCTGGGTCTCCGTGTCTAGCCAGTCACTGGCCCTCAAAGCCAGCACCTCAGAGCTCGCTGTTTATTCTCAAGAAGGTTCTGGAACTCTGCTTGGGCATGGGCCAGAAGGCCAGCCTCCCTCAAGGGAAGAATCCAAGTCACCACTTTACAGTCAACGCTTCGTTTTTGACCAAAAACGGAATTGACCGGCTACATCACCCAGCCCGATCCACCCGCGTCGGCCCAGAAAGTTCTCCATGCTCAAGTGGAAGAAATACGGCCACTGAGGACAGCCTAAAGGAATGTGCTGTGTGCACGAAGGACTCTCAGCAGCTGTTCGGTGTTTATGACAGATCCTGGTAATGGGGGGAGGTGCTGACGACCCACTGGTCAGAAAAGCAAGCAGGAGTGAGGGCTGAGAGCGCAGCGGGATGCTAGTCCTCTCAGGAGGGAGGCCGAGGCGGGACAGACACCGACAGCCCCTCCGGCGGGTGGGCCAGGGGACGGACAGCCTTTTTCCTGGTTCTCTGCATTGTTCTGCAGTTTCTAACTGTCTAAAGCAAGCACGGGCTGATTTTATGATCAGTAAAAAAAGAAAAAAAAATCTTTCAGCAAAGATCTGAAAGACAGAGAAAATCAGTCATGAGCTTGAGAGATGAATCGAGCACGGGTCTGAGAAGTGGGCACACTGTCAGAGTAATAGTCCTTCTCCCCAGACCACAGGGAAGCACCGGGACACAGCGAGGCCGGGGCATGGCAGCGTTCTCAGCCTCGGCACTACAGACGCTCTGTTTTCTGGTGGGGGCGGGGAGTGGGTGCTGTGCATGGTAGGCTGCTTAGCAGTATCTCTGGTCTCTACCCTCTATGTGCCAGCAGTCCACCCCCCCCCCACAGTGGTCACAACCAAAAATGTCTCCAGACATTGCCACGTGTCCCAGGAGGCAAAAATGTATCCCGATCAAAACCACTGCTCCAGACTTTACATTCCTAATAAAGAAACCAGAGTAAACAGAAATAAATGTTCCTCACTTTCCGAGTACAAAGGATAAGGAGTCAATATGTAACACGCTTTGCCAACTGGGGGAAAAAAAACCAGAGAGACAAAAAGACAAAAAAAAAAAAAAAAAAAAAAGTTTCCGTCCCTGGTAAGTACGCCTTGGGAGGGGTCAGTATCTCCCCATTCTAAGCTTATTTCCTGGTACATCTGCTCTTCCCTACCCGGGTGGGGAAACAGTCCCCCCAAACCAAACACTCTCCCCCTTCAGCCTGGGTGTTCTAAAAAAGACCTGATTAATCCAACAAGGGGGAAAAAAAAAGTTTCTCTTTAGGAGAAGCCAAAAACGTGGTTCAAACAAATCCAAGGTCATTGGCTCTTGGGAGTCGGTCGGCTGCAGTGGAACAAGAGTGGACCCCGATGCCAAGCCGTGTCATGGGGGGCCTCACGAGAGAGCTAGAGTGAGAAGGGGCTGCCCAGTCTGGGTTCAGAACCACAGGCTGAGGGCTCGTGTGCGAGGCCGTGTGTGGCTGGAGTGGGAAAACGAACCCATGGCAGTGCGAGGGTGGTGGATGGCATTTTCGTTGCCAAATTAAGTGCTGATGTGGCCAAAGGAAAAAAAGGGGGGGAGGGAAAGGCACTAGCAGCAATCTGTGGTTCTGGAACAATTGCTTCGGGTCTGTTGGCAACGACAGAGGAAGGGAAGGGAGAGAAATCATCTGTGGTCAACAGGGTTTAAGGACACTCCCTGGGCACCAGGCTAGAAGGGAGACAGACCACACATTCTGGGAGGAAGATTCAGCTGAACACAGACATGTCGCTTGAGAAAGCACCCAGGGTCATTTTCACCCAACCGAAGCAAGTCTGTAAGATACAGTGCTCCTGAGGTTGCCCTCCCCAGCACGACCTCGGCTTGACCATCAGAAGGTGCCAACTCTCCAGCAGGAAGGAAGGAGGTTAAGACTTAAGGCAGAACTCCCCAGGCACGAAAGCACAGACATGCAGGAACTCATTCCAATAAGGAATGAAAAGCCGAAGAAACTTCTTGCCTCACGCTGGCAAAAAGAGATGCTTTGCTTTTAAGACCACTAGCGTTCATGGCAGCACAATTTGTACCAGCCACAACTGGAAACGACTCGAACAGTCATCAACTAATGAAAGAAAGAACAAAACATGGCGCGGTAGGCCCCAGCAACAGAACGGCATGAGACACAGACACGCTACCTCACAGGTGAGCCACGAGAACCTCACCCGGAGGGAAGGAAGCCAGGCACAGAGCACCACACAGTCTAGAAGTCCATTTATGTGAAATGTCCAGAACAGACAAATCTAGGGAGAGATGCATGGGTGCCCAGGACGTGGGGGGCCAGGAGAAAATGTGCAGGGATGGCTAACGGCTATGAGGTTCCCTGGAGGAGTGATGAGAATGTTCTGAAGGTGATTCTGGTGATGCTGTACAACACTGAACACACCAAAAATCACACAACACTTTGAGTGTGTGGATTGTGTGTTCTGTGACCTCCATCTCAATGAAGCACTTAGGACAAACCACTAGGACCCCTGCAGCAAACCAGAGCAGAGGAATGAATGAGGCCCCCACCCCCACCCGGGGCAGACATGGAGACCACTGGAGGAAGGAGCAGAAGACTGAAGCTTAGACGCCAGACTTGAGGTCCCGACCCCACCAGCAGCCACCATGCATCCTTGGACAAGCTGCTCCCTGTCTCTGATGTTCAGCAGCTTCTCAGTGCCTGGAGACCAAAACCCAAACACCTCACCCTGAAGGCCCACCTCCCCCCACAAGTCACCTGCCCACCGTGGTCTGGCCACACTGGCCTCTTTTTCTTTCCTTCAACAAACTGACCTCACACCAGGCCTGAGGCCTGCCTGTACACCTGCTGTTCCGATGTCAGAACACGGTTCCCCAGATGTTCTCCTTGCTGGCTCCTTTCCAGGCCACTGTCCCCTCCTCAAAAAGGGCTTCTCTGACCAGCCCCCTGGGCTGCCTTGTGCCAACCCCTCAGCCCCCAGCTCATCATCCGCAGTTTTTTCTTTACAGCACTTCACGCTCTATGAAAGTACTTCCTTGGTTCATTCTTGTTCTTCTCTCCCACCAGATTCTAAGCTCCGTGAGGACAGGGATCTGTCTAGATGTCGTCCACTTCTTTCTCCCTGAAACTATCACGGGCTGGACTGCACCCCTGTCCCAAATTCCTATGTGGAAGCCTGAAGTGCCCAGGACCTCAGAACGTGATTGTATTTGGAAACAGGTTATCTGCAGGTGTAATCAGTTGAAAGGAGGTCATGGGGTGGGGGGGCTAATCCCACATAACTGGTGTCATGAGGAGAAGGGGAAATTCAGAGATAGACTCCCGCACAGGGAACACTGTGTACAGACGAAGCAGATACTGGGGGTGATGCCTCCGCAGGCCAGCAAAGGCCAGAGACTGCCCACAGGCCCGCAGAAGCCAGGGGAGGGGCGTGGAACGGACCCTCCCTCCGAGCCTCAGAAAGAACCAATCCTGCCAATACCCAGGTCTTGGGCTTCCAGCCTCCAGGACTGTGGGAGATTACATTTCTGTTGTGTGAGACACACCGTCTGTGCTACGTTGTCACAGCAGCCCTAGGCAAAGAACACAAGCATTTGACACACAGTAGGTGCTCAGTAAATTTGAAATTTGGCTCAATGACTATACTGATGAACCGTAAATGGCTCTTTCTCAGCAACCAGGCCCATTCAGAGAGACGGGAACCTGGCTGTCTTGGCAGAGAAGGGACCAGCTTCTCTAAGCCTCAGCGTCCTCACCAGGGAACTGGGAACAACAATTCTACTCCTTCCTGAGTTGCTGGAAGGCATCAAGGAGGTAACTCTCGCAGAGAACAGGAGACCCGGCTAGCCCTCAGCAAGCATCCCGTCACAGATACTTCCAGAACACCTGCAGCCCTGCCCCTGGGGACAGTCGCAGACCTGGTTGGGGATGGAGTATGAAAGGAACATGCCTTGGAGGCTCAGGGAGTCTGTCATGAGCTCCCGGAAGCGGGATGTCAGGGCAGGACCCATGACCTCTCTCAGCGACAACTGAAGGCAAAGTAGAAAAGGTGTCAGGTGACCTCTGTGGGGTAAGAGCTCCAAGAAGAAAGGAGGAGCCTCTGAGCCTCCCGTCTGACTGAGGAACACACAGGGCAGCCTGAAGGTTGCAAACCAAGCCCCTGAAGTTTAATCCAACTGAGAAGAGAGAAAAGATTCTTAGAAGTCTCACCACAGAAGCCTCCACATGAGGACAGGGCGAGGCCCCGGCTTGCCGAGCGCTGGCTCTGGAGAGCACACGGGGTGCGGCTGGGGGTGGGCAGGTCTGCGGTGACCTGGCCGGTGCCACATGCGCGGGGGTGAATGATGGGCACTCTTCCCAGGAGAGTTATGACAGCAGTTGTCGTGCATAGGACATTCTGTGCCGGGCACCGTGCCCAAGGCTCGATGGAACACATCGAGCACATTAACTCTCCACGAAACGCCAGGAGGTTGTCCTGTTATTATGCTGTTTTATCAGTAAGGAAACTGAGGCTCAGAAGGGTCTGGAGGACCCTGGTAAAAGGAGCAGTGGGACTCGAATCCAGTCTCACCAACTGCCAGCCCACACACTCGTTCAGGCACCACGTGTCCCCCGGCCCCAGCATCTGTTCTGAATGCCACACATGTCACTGCTTCCCACAGCCTCTTGGGAGCCAGGACTGTAATTATCACTGTCCCCATTCCTGCCACAAGAACCCTGAAGCTCGGCTGCCCCAAAGCCACCTTGCAGCGAAGGATGAGGACCCGGGCCCAGGTCCACCGCCGCAGCCGTAGGGCACTGGGACCCCCTCTCTCAAGTCAACCCCGAGAGCCGAAAGATGATCCCTCCTCAGAGCTCCTGAAGGGGCTGGTGAGGCGAGCTAGAGGGGGACTGGGGGAACCTTCGGGAGGCAGTAGGGGGCCCAGTGAGGCACCCCGGCGTCCTACCTTCATCCTGCTCAGTCTGCTCCTGCTCGCTGCTGGCGTACGTGCGCAGGAACTCGGCGAAGGCGCCATCCCGGGCCAGCAGCTCCTGGTAGGAGCCCATCTCCGAGATCTTGCCGCCGGTCATGACGATGATGACATCCACCTGGGGCAGGTAGCTGATGCTATGCGTGACCAGGAGCCGTGTCTGCGGGCAGAGCAGGGACCGGCGGGGGTCAGCGCCCGGGCACGACAGGCATCCCCCAACACCTCACCAGCCCAGCTTGAGTCTGAGCGCCTGGGGCGCCCCGATCTGTGGGTGCCTTTGTTCGACCCATGCCTGCCAGGAGGTGGGGGGCAGTGGGGAGGGAAACGGGCCCCCCAGCCTCACACTCCACGGTCAGGGGGAGAAAAGGATGGAGAGATGTAAGACAAAGTGGGTGCTGGGTGTTGCACGAAGCAAAGGGGAAGGGCTGAGGGCAGGGGTTGCAATTTTAACAAGGGTGATGGAGAAGCTGATCTGTGGACGACAATTTGAAGGATGAGGGGAAGGCACAGTGGACGGATAAAAGAACGAAGCCGATAAAAAACAATTCACATATAATGGCCTGTTTAAGCACCCCCCAAAAAAGACGCTACAAAATTCATACACGCGTGTGTAAGTCAAGGTTGGGAAGGCCACTCAGCAAACTGCTTGAGTTGACCAACTTTTCCTTAAAGGGCCAAATGGTAAATACGATCGGCTTTCTGGAGCCTCCAGTCGTGATGGAACAACTGGGCTATGCTGCTGCAGTGGGAAGGCGGCCGCGCACAAGAGGGAGAGATGGCCTGGCCGTGCCCCAGTGAAGCTTTCCGTATGGACACCGGCATTTCAGTTCAATGCCATTTTCATTTTCAGAAGTTTCAAAAGACTATTTTTCTTTGGATTTTGTCCCAACCACTGAAAAATGTGAAGACCTTTCTTAGCTCAAGGGTGGTCCAAAATCAGGAAGCAAACCAAACTACTGACCTCTGCTCTCAAGGCAAGAACTAGAGTGCAGGAGAAGGGAGAGACCGCCCCCCCAACTTTACATATATTCTCATACCCTTTGATTTTGTTACCATGAAGGCATGTATCATTCTGATAACAAAAAAAATTTTTTTTTAAGATTTTATTTTATTTGACAGATCACAAGTAGGCAGAGAGGCAGGCAGAGAGAGTTGGGGGGGTGCGGGAAGCAGGCTCCCTGCTGAGCAGAGAGCCCAATGTGGGGCTCGATCCCAGGACCCTGGGATCATGACCTGAGCTGAAGGCAGAGGCTTTAACCCACTAAGCCACCCAGCCGCCCCAAAAATTTCTTTAAAAATTACATTTATACGGAATTTTGGGGTGTATATGGGAATGCTTACAATAGGTTAAGCAGCACATTGCTTACTATATATATATGCATGATATGAAACCTTCTAAAACTTGGGGGGGCCTGAGTGGCTCAGTCATTAAGCATCTGCTTTCGGCTCAGGTCAAGATCCCAGGGTTCTGGGATTGAGCCCCGCATCCGGCTCCCTGCTCAACAGGAGACCTGCTTCTCCCTGTCCCGTTTCCCCTGCTTGTGCTCCCTCTCTTGCTGTGTCAAATAAATATATAAAATCTTAATTTAAAAAAGTTAAAAAACAAAAAAACAACCTTCTAAGACTTGAAAGAAAGAAAATCTCTATGAGCACAATCCCAATTGTACACAATTGCTTGTGTGTTTCTTTTTCTCGTATTTTTTCTGAATCTCATCTGTTTCTGAATCTCATCTCATCACAAGGGCATGTGTGTTATTTCTTTCTCCAGAAGGGGGAAGGGGGAAAAAAAAAAAAAAAAAGAACCAGTGCTCCCTCCCAATCACCCTGTAATTCCCCTAAAAACAATCATCATCATTAAGAGAAGATCCATTTCCTGTCACGTTACAGTGCTAAAGCAGTTTTTGTGCCCCCAACTTCTGTCCCTCAGCCCACGGCCACCTCAGCAGGGGAGCTGCTTGCTCAGTCAGAGGGGAAGGGATTTCGCTCTGTAGGCCAGCCCTGTAATTAAATTAGGAAGAGGGGCCTCCGCTGGCCACATGGAGACAAGGACCACAAGTCAGTGTTAAGGACATCCCGTTACCAAGACAAAGCAAGCAGGCTGTCCTGGGAAGGTATCCAAGGGAAACATTAGAAACGTGTTCTTAAGTCCAATTTAAAAAAGAAAATCCTGGAAAGTGGGAAGTGAAGGATTCCCCAAGGGGAAACATTCTGACTTAAGTGAAGATGTGAGACAGCCAGATACCCGAGCCCTGCCCCATCAGCAGATACCTTGTTCCTCAGCATCCCCTTAGGACCAATCACGTTTTCAAATATGTGTTTTCCCACGTGAGCATCCACTGCTGACAGGGGGTCGTCAAAGAGGTAGATGTCAGAGTCACAGTACACGGCCCGGGCCAGGCTCACTCGCTGCTTCTGGCCCCCAGACAGGTTCACACCCTGGGGAGAGACACAGCAGAAGGGTGGGGATCCCGGGGAGCCTTGCAACCTGCAGATGGGGAGCTCCACTCAGGACGCAGCAGACCCGGGCCGGTGGCCCTGCGGCACAACACCACCTCCTTTTGGCCTCCTCTCGCTGGAGCCCAAGGCCACAGCATGAGATCGTATCTACATGAACTGGGTTCAAGGACTGCCATGGGGTCTAGCCTCTACGAGCTGCTGAGCGGACACCCAGCACAGAGTGGCAATTCAGCAAAGGCTGGCTGGTGGCCGCAAACGATGGGGGGCTACAAGGAAGGCACCAGGAGATGCGGTACTGAGCCTATTGCCGCTGCTGCTACTAGAGTTAATAGTGGACACTTCTGTGAGCTTGCTCTGATCGATCACTCACTGGAAACCACACAGAACCGAGGCAGGCTGTACTCTGGGAGTGCCAAAACCCAGCCCCCCTCTCCAGGAGGAAGGGCACTGCTTTCAAGTTCACATGGGAGCGCTCCACGGAGCACACAGCAGCAGTCCCAGACCTCTCTCCGGCAACAGCCTACCAAATGTTACTTCCGTATGTGGCTGGGGAATCAAAGGGACCCCCCCCCCCCGCCACCAGTTAACTGCCCAGTCTCTCCTGACAGATGCCCGCCCTCCCTAGGCACTGAGCTGGGGTCCTGGCAGCCAGGGTTCTCATGGATTGCCTCTCTGGCCACAGCTCTTTGGCCCAGGGGCAGACACCAGACCCAATCATATTCTCTCACTCTATATTTTGGTACTGGGACCCAGGCAGGGAGAATCAGAATTCTCCAAGGGACGGAAGACGACACTTGGGTGAAAACAACAACTAGCTCAGGCTCCTCTGCTAACTGTAAATCCAAAGAGTCCTGCTAACAGTTGTTTTTTCTTTCCAAGGAGCTGTAGATGTCCCTCAAATAAAAGAAATCATTTGGCAACTAAGGAAGCTGGTGGAGCCACCCTCTTGTAACTAAGGAGTCAGGAAAGCTCCTTGGTGCTGCTGTGGAACATCTGTACTCCCCAAGCATACCAGATAACCAGCATAGTGCTGGAACAGGCTCGCTGGGTGAGGAAAAGCCTGTGCAAAGACCCTGAGGTGGGAAGGGCCTCAGACAGGTCACTTAGCCCTTCTATGCCTCTTCCCCCTTAACCATGAAATGGAAGCAACAGTAAATACCATCTCATGGGCTTGCTATAGAGAGGGAATGCATACGAAATGTTTACCACAGGACCTAGCACACAGTAAATGCTGAACATTAGCTACTATATCATTATTTTTACTACTACCCTTGTTTTGTAGGGGACTGTGGCCCTCTGAATCACTGATACCCCTCCCCCTTGTAAAGTGCCCTCTGTCATGTGACTCTGCGGTCACGTGGCTGCTAAGGTAGCGTGCACTTCACCGTCCCTTATCTTTCAGTTCAATCAGGTGAAAACAACCATGTTTTACAGGACACTGTTGGGGGGGTGTGCAGTTTGGGTTTTGTTGTTGTTGTTCTTTTGGGCTTCTGCAGTCACCATGAGAAGAGCTTCCCCCTGCAGGAAGACGTGTGGAGCAGACCCCAGCCAAGCCCATGGTCCGGAACCGAGCTCAGTGGGCCTGTACTGTGGAGCGGAGCTGCCCAGCTGAGCCCAGCATGGATCAGCCACCCTCGGTCAACGCGCACGCCCACAAATGGAAGAGTAAGGATTTAACATCAGCCCCTAAAATTCTGTGGCTGCTACAGGGGCCATGCTGCAGCCGTACTGACCTTCTCACCAATCTCTGTCCGGTCCCCGCTGGGCAGGATTTCCAGATCTGGGAGGAGGGCGCAGGCTTCAATGACGGCCTTATAATACCGTTCCTGTAGCTGGCGGCCGAAAAGGATGTTTTCTCGGAGAGAATCATTCTGAATCCAGGCCTGCTGGGGGACGTAGGCCACTGAGCCCTAGGAGGCACAGACAGAAGGCAGCAAACAGACAGAGAGCCTTGGTTAATAAGACGGCAGTCAGCCAGCCCACCCACCAGGGGGGCCCTACTTCCCAAGATACTTTCATCACACCCACTGTTTCAGGAGGTGGGAAACGGAGTCACGACAGCCTTGGATGCCAGAGCTGGGATCAGACCCCATGCCAGGTCAGACACGGACTCTAGTATCAGGAATTCAAGAGTGCAAATCCACATTGGTGAGGTTATTGTTTTACGTTTACTAAGTATTTCACTGAGTGCCTCCAGCAGCAAACAAAACTCCTGCTTCTCAAGAATAAGAAGTTCCTAACATGATTACAAAACAAGACCATTTGATTACAGTTACACTAAATGCTAAGAGAGGAAAACGCAGGAGTCCTTCAAGAAGTCCTTTAAAGAGGGAGACCTAGTTTTGGTCATCAGGGAAGAATTCCTTGGGGGAATTCACCGATGACGTGTAGGCAAGGACTTCCGTATCAAAATCGTCTGTTTCAAAGTGTAGTGTTCATTCCCACGTGATCAACTACAAAGAATGTCATGAGAGTAAGGGCTGGGGGAGGGCATCTGCTTCATGTATTTCAGGAAGGAAGTTTTAAATGAGGATGGACAGGTGAGGATATGCTGGTGTGACAAACACGAGGCGGAAGAGCATCCCGTCAGAGGGAGCAGCACGGGCAAAAAGAAGAACCTGGTGCGTCCTAGGACCAGGAAGGCCAGTGTGACTGGAACGTGGTGGGAGGAACGAGCAGGAGACCAGGGGTCCGGTCGCACCAGGCCAGGGGTCCTGGTGAGGAGTCCGGGCTTTACTGGGAGGGAAAGAGGAACAAGTGAAGATTCTTACCTACGGGAATTCTAGGGGGACAAGGCTGGGAGTGGGACCCAGATGTCCCTAACCTCAATCTTCATTCTCAAATAACTGAACTGCTGACTCTAATACTGTAACTTACAAGAGGCTAAAAGGTCGCAAAGCCTCACCACAGAGCCCAGATCATTCAGACATGGTGTGCACATGCCCTACCCAATAAAAATATTTGGAAAAAATCAGTATTTCAAGCACATTTCTAGAATGCTCCTTTGCACGGCAAAACAACCAGTTAGAAATCTGTCAGCCCCTCACACCAAATCCTCAGTGGATCCTCCTTCAGCTTTTAGATCCAGCATTTTTGTAAAGGCTTTTGACTTTAAAACAGCAGTTCTCAGCTGGGGGCAATTCTGCTCTCCAGGGGACATCTGAAGTCTAGACTCTCTTGGTTGTCACAACCGGAGGCTGTTACCAGCATCTAGTGCGCAGAGGTCAGAGATGCTCTAAAAGTCCTACAAGGAACAGCACAGCCCCCCAGAGCAGAAAACCATCCAGCCCGCAAGGTCAACAGTGCTGTGTGGGTAGAAACTCATTAACGAAACAACACAATGTGGATGGTTCGGAGTTTTCTTTAGTCAAGCGAAGTCTCACTGTTCATTATCTCACTTTAGTAACGTGTACTTGAAAACAGTGATGGCGCTTTCTTAAAATAACAGCTAAATGTCACCAGTTTAGATCCAACAAATATTAACGTGTACTTCTCTACTAACACATGCCGGGCTAAAGGAATGTAAACAAAGAAAGGATTTTGCTCTGAAATAAGAACTCCATAAACAGATTCTGGGAGACATTATTTCTGGGGAGGCAAACAGCTGTTGAACAGATGAGGAAGAGTATGGGCAAATACCTCCGGGACACACTGGGTTAACCGAAGTTAAGTAAGTTTTCCTCTCCTTGCGGGACTTCTCAGAGCCTTTGCTTTATGAATGTCTGAGTCTCTGAGAGGGAGGGAATCTGAGTTTGCAGTATTTCCCAAGCTTGTGGGAGCCCAAAACAGTCTATTACCCAAACTGCAAGGTGACTTTGCTGTAGACCACACTCCAGGAAAGGCTGGATCAACAAAACTTGGAGGTAAGCTTTCTATACCAGTGAAGTCCTCCGTAGGGAATAAGCCACATGCATAAAACAAGGCTCTTGATTGCCAAAGAGACTCATCTGTTCACTAAAGCAGCCTTTCAAACTGTCCCAAAGACACAACAAATGTTAAGTTTTGCTACATTTATAAAACACAGATACAAAAAGAGCAGGGAGCATCCGTGTATCTACTCAGTGTTTACTCAGCGCCTACTACTTGCTGTGCACTAGTCTCAGCGCTGGGATACAGCAGCAAATTACTGGCATCAACTCTCGCCTTCCAAGGGGCCAGAGAGAAGGGCAGAGAGAACGGGAGAGACAGAGGGAGTTCCTCGCTGCTCTCACTTCCTACACAAGGGTCGTCATGAAACAAAACACAGCACCCCGCTCGCCCTTCCCCTCAGGCCGGCAGAAGTCCCCGCGGCCCCCCACCCACCCGGTCTTCGTCCTACCTTGACAGCCACGTATCCCTCCATCTTGTCCATCTCGGCCAGGAGTGCTGAGAGCAGAGACGACTTTCCACAGCCCACCTGGCCCACCACGGCCACCAAGGAACCTTCCGGAATGGAGAAGGTGATGCTGAAATGACACAAAGGCTCTGCCTCAGCCTCGCCCTCACCTGAACAGGTGGCGGCCCAGCACAGCTGGATGTACCCTGAGCGGAGAGAGGCAGAAGGCAGGGCTGTCACGAGCCCTGAAAGTCTGGAAATTACTCCCGCCATTTCCCCCACTAAGCTAAACTCAGTGACTGGTCTCAGGGGGCTGAGGTGTGTGAGGCTCCATACAGCTGCTGGGATCCAGATGTGTCTCAGAGAAGCAGAGGCAGCGGGAGACACCTGGGGGGGGGGATCAGGTCACAATAACGGAGCCAATGCAGGTGCCCAGAGGAACAGACACCTCACTCAGTGTGAACTCTAAGGGAAAAGGAAGCAGCACCAGACACGGAAACCTGTGAACAACTGGGAGAGAAGGCCTGAAGGTGTGAAAGGACAGGTGTGGTCAGGGACCCACACGCCCACCACAGAGGACGAGGCAGGGGGGAGTAAGGCTGGTGTCCTGAAGAGGTGGCAGGGGGCAGCCACACCCGAAGACATCACAGTTCGCGGTGCTAAGACACTCACACCTCGTGGATGGGAGCCTCGAGTTCTGAAGCCTCGGGCCCTGACAAAGATGATTGAGTGTGAGAAACGGGTCTCTAGAGAAATCACCCCCTCAAAGACGGCAATGCCAAGTACAATAAGATCAACGCTCCGCCAGCAAGACTGCCTGTCCGAGGACATGGGGCCGTCGCTTGCTGCCAAGTTGGGACTAATTCCACGCACCCAGGGAGGGGCAGGCACCCCGAGCCCAGGGCCTCTTTGGGTTTCCTTCCTTTAGCTATGCTTTTCAATGGACGCTATTATGATTCAACCTCTTAGTGGAAATGCTGTTACATTCCGCGGTCACTGACTGGTTAGTGCTTCTGAAAGTGCTGCACGGTTCCACCGAGTATGCTTTTGTCCTGGGCCGAGAGGGACCGGATGATGGGATCACAACAGAACACGAAGCCCAGTGAGGCAGCTGTGACTGTCCAGGTGGGAATGGGATATCGTTACAGCTGAGGAGAGGAAAGGTTTGCACTGGGAAAGGTTTTGGGAATTCAAGATTGGAGGGATGGGGGTGACTAGAACAAAAAGACAAGAGAGACAAAGAAACAAAAGAGAAAAGGTAAAACTGAAGCAGTTGTTAGGCATAAGGAAGAACTTTCCAAGCACACTGTCCCACCGGGAGTTTGCAAGGGAGGTGTTACAAAGACTCTTTTCTCTAAAGAGTCTGTCCCCTCTTTCTGAGTTAATACACAACCAGGGAGTTAATACCACCCAGGGAGGGGTAATTGTTAAGGGGCCAGGGGGAATAAATGTGGTCCTAAAAAGGTCCCTTCCATCCCTGTGTTTTGGGGACTCCTCTGGGGAAGCCTCAAAGAGCCACCAAGCAAGGCAGAAAGGAGTAAGAGGCCCCTGACCAGTGGCCTGGGGAACCAGATCAACTCCCCGGACACTGTGCACTTTGGAAAATAAGGGCTGGGTAGTGGGAGGGTCTCAGACCGGGAAATGGCAAGAAAGGGTGACTCAGGTAGCCGCGGACCGTAAGAGCAATTCCATCCCAACAGCAAATCCCGGCTGCAAAGAATTCCTTTCAGTAGACCCAGGCCCGTCCGCCACCACCTGCAGCATCACTGCCTCAGACCCAGCCTGGCCAATCGGGAGTGCTGTGTCTCTCCTGGCATGTGGTTGGCTCAAAGAGGGACACATGACCCAATTTAGACCAATAAGAGGCAGGTGGGTCTCCAGTCCAGCTTAAGGGGTACACTCCTGGCCAATGAGGGCTATTTGTCGTCATGAAAGAAGAGGCAGCTTGAGAAGGAAACAGCACAAAGGGAAACTGCAAAGAGACAAGATGGAGAAGATCCTGATGACAATGAGTCCCTGGATCATACTGTACCTGAGTGTGGCACTCGGTGATACAACCCCAAAATTTCCATTTGTTGCCTAAGCCTACCTACTCAGCATCTCTGTCATTTATAATCCCAGGGAACACTCTGTGCCAGCATACGCTCACCTGCTCCCCCAAGAAGGTATGACTTGACCTATTTCCCAGTGGGTAAACTGAGGCTCAGAAAGGCAACCAATTCAGTGTCACAGAACGAGAGTATGGCTGGAATTCCAACCTACATTTGACCACAGCCTCGTAGCTCTCTACATCCTGGCTTACCCACTTAGCGTTGGAGGGTCACTCCTGGCCCAAGTGAACGTGGCATTCTTCACGGTGATGCTGTTTGCGCCCCCGCCTGAAAAGCACCAGCAACAGTATGTCAGGCAAAGGCAAGGACAGAAGTCCCCAGACTGAGCATCAGCAGGAAACTCTCTTCTCCTTTCTAATCTTTTTTAGTTCAGGGCCAGATGTTAGACACTTGCACTTGGGCATTATCTTGTTACATCATTCCCGGTTTCTTTTTTTTTTTTTTTTTAAAGATTTTATTTATTTATTTGACAGACAGAGATCACAAGTAGACAGAGAGGCAGGCAGAGAGAGAGAGAGGGAAACAGGCTCCCTGCTGAGCAGAGAGCCCGATGCGGGACTCGATCCCAGGACCCTGAGATCATGACCCGAGCCGAAGGCAGCGGCTTAACCCACTGAGCCACCCAGGCGCCCTCATTCCCGGTTTCTAAAGAACCCCAACCAGCCCCACAAAGCGGAGAGAAACCACAACAGGGCTCTGCCCTGAATGCCAGGAGGTTGTGCCACCCAGATGCCCATCTGGCAGAGGCAGGAGGACCCCTTGGGGTTTACTCAAGGCTCCAGGGCCTCCCTCACCCCACCTTGGGAGGATCGGGCAACTCTGGCTGGGGTGCCAAGCAGAAGGCAGGGTCAATGGGGAATAAGCAGTTCTCTCCATCAGGCTGGCCCTTGGCCCTCACCACACCCTCAGCCCTCCCTTCTCATTCAAGGGGGGTCCTGGGCCCAAGGAACTTGGATTGTAGGGCTGTCTCCTAACGCCTCTCCCTGCATCCCTTCTCCCTCCTGCCAGGCTCACATCACAACAGGTCAGTCTTTCTGAAAAACCAGTCACACTGTGAAAAAGCAGGCTGTGAAACAGGCGGTGGGTGGGTGGGGGGGGGGGGAATGAGGGAGGGAAGAACGATTAGACAAATCTGGCATTCTACCGACAGCGGTGGCTCTGGATTCTAAGCTCCAGGCTCCTCTGTCTTCATTTACTTTCCCTCCCCTTCCTCTCCTCTACCTCCCGTCCCTCGCTTAAAAAAACAAGTTCTGACTCTTCAGTAAGAGCCTCCTTAAAACCACCTAGAGATAAGATGGGCGTGTTTTGAAGCTATCAAAGAGAGAGAGAAATTCCCCTGCACACCAAAGAAACAAAAACCTCTGGTAGGAGGCAGTTATTGGTTAACCTGACCTTCCCTCCCTCACCCACACCCACAGAACAGGGAGGAAATGGGAAGGTGCTATTTAAGTAATTTAAGAAAAGTCACTTGAGTCAGACAAGCTAGAAAACCACCAGACACGGCTGAGAGCCGCCAAGGTGCCCCGTCTGGCAACCATGGAGTGTGGATAAGCATCTCAAAAAGTCAAGCAGCCTAGGAAGGGGGTGCTGAGGCCTGGACTGCACCAGGTAGCCTGGGGGCTTTCCAACAGGACACCTGCAGGGTGCTGGGAGGAGCTCCAGGAACCTGAAACCTCCATGGGCGGTCCCAAAGCTCAGCCCTGTGGTATGCAAAGAAAGAAGTCTACCAATAAAAATCCACATAACACCCTGACAAAGAAAGATACCTTCATTCCCATTACCCAGATAGGGAGACTGAGGCTTAGAGCAGACAACTGACCTGCCCAGGTACACAGAGCTGGTGGGTTGGAACTGGTTAGTCTCCAGTGTCCCTGCTGCACCTGCCCATCTGGCCAGAACAGAGTCAAGATCTGAGCCCGAAACGGGCCCCTGAGTGGGAGGCCCCACCCCATGGGCTGCCTCTTAGCGAAAGCACCAAGAAAACAGAAGTTGAAGTTCACCGGCCTGGGATGTGCAAGATAAGGCCCTGACGCCCACCCGGTTCCGCAGAGCTCCTGTTCCCTGGGGCCTCACACCCAACCCGAGGGGAGCCTTCAGGGCACAGAGGGACCCAAGGTACACACACCATCTTTGACCGTCCTTCGCTCGATACTGTCAGGCTCCAGCTCCTCATGAGACAGGAAGATCCTGAGGCGTTTGAGGGAGACACTCGCCTACACAGAAAGCAACTGCAGTTATTTTTAAAAGCATTTTTGCAAAAAAAAAAAAAAAAAAAAAAAAAAAAACGACCGAGGCTAGCTGTTGGAGGTTTCCCCTGGCAGCTTCGTGTTTCGTGTAGCGTCCCTTAGAATGAGACACAGAACAGGTTTGGGTTCTTGTTTGTTTTCCTTCCAAAGCCCATCACGGGTATGAAAAAAGAGGGTAGGGAGATTGTCCTGGAAGACAAGGGACTTCAGAAACAATAAGTTTGTTTGAATGATCGCCCTCCACACGCTGCGAGCCAAGAGACAGCAAGAGACAGCGTCTCCACGTTCCCGACAGGAAAAGGAAACGAACAATGTGCTAGAGGTGTCAGCAAACACTCCTGTGGTCATTCATTGGATACGCCTTAAGTTTACACCATGTTATTTATCAATTCTATCTCCTACAAATAAACTGAAGCAAAAAAAACAAACAAACCCAAAAAAAACCAAAAACACAAAAACCACTGAACAACAGAAGACATGCATGTTCAAATATTTACAAGTGAAATGTCAAGAGGTCTGGGATTTGCTTTAAAATTCTTCAGGGGAGTCTGACTGGTTGCACTGGTGGAGCACGTGACTCTTGATCTTGGGGTGATGAGTCTGAGCCCCAAGTTGGATGTGGACATTACTTAAAAATTTAAAAAAATCTTAAAAAAAACGAAGGAAGGAAAAGAATTATTTGGCAAGGAAAAGAAGAAAGGAAGCAGGAAAGGGGAAGAGTGAAGAAGGATGAGCCAAGTGTGGCAAAATGTCCAGCCTGGGTAGATGCTACATGGAGTTTGTTAACACTGTTTGTTCTCACCCTAGTCTGTGTACATTTGCAATTTTTCATAACAAAAAGGGGTTTTATTTGCTTAATTATTTTTTTAACCAGAGTTGTACAACCAAATCTTAAGGGTCATTTGCCCGTGTGGCTGATAATTGGGTTTTCAGGATGAATGCGTTCAAATGCTGGGGAGAAGACGACGAAAACATCCCTCCCGTTGGAAAGCACAGGAGCTCCTTCACATGGAGTGAAAGTGTGACCGAGTAGACAGTCTCCTCACCTCATAGAGTCACTGCCATGGACTTTTGGATTTCTGGGGGATCTAGGTTAGGGTTTTTCCAGCAGTGGGTTGAGGTCTATCAGTGGGTTGTGAAATCAATTTAGTAAGTCAAGAAACACAGTTTTGAAAAAGTAGAGGACGACGGAGCAGAGAGGAACAGACTGCCTCGAACAGGGTATTTCAGAACCTTACGGAGCTCGGGGAAGCCTGGTTGCATGCAGTGTTTGTGTTGTACGTTCAAGTGTGAGTTCCTAGTCAATAAGTAACGTATTCCTTTCTTTGGGGCATGACCAAAACAGCACGAAAGCCACCGGTGTGAGCCTCGTCCAGCCAACTGGGCACGTTGGGACAGGTAATGAAGGGGGAGCTGTATGGAGCAGGATCTGTAGGCCCTTTTACTTCCTTTCCCCAGAACCCCCTCCCTCAGGTCCCTCCAGCCTCGCCTGTACCTGCACGATGCTGCTGATGACCATGGGAAGAATATTCAGGGGAAATCGAAGGATGTTGAACAAGGCCAAGGACACGAAAGCTTTCTGGGCATCCAGGATGTTGTTCTTGTCGATGGTCACGTAGACGGCAAATGTAGACAGGGCCACCTGTAAGCAGAGCGTCCAGCACTGACTTGTGTCCCTGCATCACAGACACAACCCTAAGAGCAGCTGCCCTCCCCCTGACCCCCCACAGTGTGTTTGAGCCCACCCCGTCCCACAACAGGCCCCTGGAAGCAGCAGGAAACACCTAAGGCAGTGTCTAGCACATAGCAGACACTCACTAAACACTCAAAGAATGTACCAGATAAATGGGCAACTGGGAATTCCAAGTCCTGGCCTCTGCACCAACCTTCTCCAGATCACAGCGGACAGACATGCTGGGGATCCCTCAACACCACCCAGTATAATCCCTCTGGGCCTTTGCCCCTGTGGTCTCTCTGCCTGAAACAACCTTTCCATGCAGATGGTGGCCTGGTTCTTCCCTCCGACCCTTTGGAGAGGTTGCCCTGCCCCTCCACCCAAAACAACCCTGCTCTGGCTCTCTATCCTTTTATCCTGGCTTATTTTTCTCCACAGCAACTACCACGACCTTTTATAGCACCACCATGTGCATGTCCTGTCTGTCTCCTGGACTACAGTGGAAGCTCCGCAAAGACAGGGACTTGGTTTTATACACAGAGGTATCTTCAAGGCCTTGAACAATCCCTGGCATACAGGAACACCCTGGGCAAGTTACCTCCTCTCCCCATGCCTCACATCTCATCTGTGAAACAGGGCTGGATGCAAATGGTTAATGGCACTATTTAAAATTCCTTCCAGCTCACAGAATATATAATTTTATAGCCCCAGGAAAGGAACATGATTAAAAATAAAGTAAAAATAAAATTTAAAAAAAAGGGCAAGCAAAACTAACACACAAAGGTACTCCCTTCCTCATGAAGTCAGACTTGCATTAAGCCCTGTGGTGGTTCCTGGGACTTAACCACCAGGCTCCCAGCCGACCGGAACTTCAGTTCTGATGCTTGAGACAATGGCTCCTCATCTCCCTTGCCAGGAGAAAGGGAGGACAGTCTCAATAATCTGGGGTCAGGCTGCTCTGCTTGGGAGGGAGGTAGGAGATCAAGAGGCGGACTCCTGTGCCTCTCCTATACCGCTGGGGACAGACAGGGGCCAGGTGTCGCCAGGCGGGGCTAATGGCAGGCATCCCACAAAGACTGCCCAGAACATGCTATCAGAAGCCATCTGGACAACCTTGGACCTCAACAGATGCACACCAGTCCCCATCCCCCATATTAGCCCCAGGATCCCAGAGCCATTAAAGGCTTTCTCTGCAGGACATAAACTGCTCAGGTCCCACCTTTCTGAGCTCAGAGCAGAGTGTCCGGAAGTCAGGGTCTGGCACTGGAGCCCTGCCTCCGGTGTGGCTGTGGCCCAGTGCAGGGCCCAGCACAGGGCCATGGTGCAGGGGTCACAGCCTTCTCATTTCCTTACTACCTACTGGAAGGTAACATGGCTTAAAAATCAAAACCAACAGCTCTGCCACATATCAGCTGTAGGAGCCTGGACACCTCATCTCCCCTCTCCAAGCAAGCCTCTGCTTTCCTCTCTACAAAATGCGAATCCGGATACACCATCGCAGGGCGGCCAGCAGCAAGAAATCACGCACTTCTACGAAGTGCTGAACACACTACCAAGGGCTCAGTAAATGGCCGTTGTTTTCATTTCTGGCTATAGGACTCAGTCCAAACTCCTTGGTCCATTCTTCCAGAGAATCTATTAACTGGGTTCCAAGAACAAGGCGCTGGGGGGGTAGAGCTGGTTCCTTTCTGGCCCTGACATTAACAAGCCGGGTGACGCACCAGCCTCTCATCCGAAGGTGTTCTTACTCAGAACGCTCCAAGTATCTCCACACAAAGGAATAGTAGTCAGCCATTAAAAAAGGAAGCACAGACACCTGCTGTGACAGAGATGACCCCTGTAAACATCATGCTCACTGAAACAGAAGCCAGAACACATGAAGCCCACGTACTGGGTCATTCCAACTTCTATATCCCGAACAGGCAAATCCACAGGTACAGAAAGCAGATGAGTGTGCCTGGGCTGGGAGAATGGGGAGTGACCATCAATGGCTATAGGGTTTCCTTCTGGGATGATGGGAACGTTCTGGAATTAGACAGTGGGGACGGTTGCACAACCTTGTGAATATATTAAACACCACTGGGTTGTACACTTTAAAATGGTAAATTATAGCTCACTAAAAAAAAATAAGAACAAAAAACCCGCCTCTCTGAAGTCAGTCCATTTGACTTTGCACAGAAGCCAAAGTCTTGACTCCAGCCCCAGGGCCTATCTGGTTTGTAAAATCTCTTCCCTTCCTCTCCTACCATTCTCCCCCCAGCTCCTGTTCCAGCCCCACTGGCCTCCGTTGGGTGGGCATTGTCCTGCCACAGGGTCTTTGCACGTGCTCCTTCCACTCCCCGGTGGGCCCTTACTCAAGTCACCTCCTCAGTGACGCCCTTAACCATCCTATTTGAAACTGTAAGCCCTACCTATTCCACCCCGGCCTCAATCTTTTTCTTTTCCATAGCACAACTAACTGTACACTATACAGCGTATTTATTATGTCTAATGTTGATCATCTGTCTCTCCCAATTAGAATGAATGACCACTCCATGAGGGCAGCGAGTTCTGTCTGTACTAGCTTGCAGCTAGTACAGACAGAAATCTGAACCATGGCCAGATCCTCAGTGAATGTTTGTGGAGTGATGAATGGACAGATGGACACATAAACAGATGGGTGGGTAGGGGCTAGATGTGGCTGGGGATAGAAGATAACAAATTCAGAGGTGTCTCCTCAGCAGTGGGGAAAATCAGGCTGCAGGCATCGCGCCACCAGAACACACCAACCCCACCAACGCCATCATAGGGGCAGCTGCTGACAGCACAGAGCATGTGTAGAGAGGGAACAACATCACGTGGCCCATCAGTTCCATGGCCCTGGCTTCTCCAGAAGTGGAGGCTATTCTTTATCAATGATTAACTGAGCACCTACTGTGTATCAGCCCTGTGTGTTGAAGAGTAAGGCAGGCCTGGCGTTCCTGAGACTCACGGTCTAGGGGAAACAGGTATTAAGTGAACTCTCTTTAGAAGGGGTATTTGGGAATGGGTGGAGATGAGTGCGGTCAGTGTAAAGAAGGGGGCCTGGGGTCTGCCACAGCTTTGTGATGGGTGAGAGTCAAGGATGTAAAAGCTTTTGCAAACAATGAAAAACAAGTGTCCCACTCCAGGAGCTAATAGTGCTTCCACACTGAGAAATGTGGGAAAGAAATGAACCATCTACTCCAGCCCAACTCCTGAAAAACCTGATGTCTCTTTGTGTAGGACATCTGTTCATTCAGTCTGCCCATTATCCACTCCCATTTCTGGTAACAATACCCCGATTTTCTTTTATCTCAATGAGCTTCGGCCATAAATGAATTGCTCATGTCCCACCCCAAGCTCCCACAGAAGCCACACAACGCTCATCAATCCAAGCATCCCATCTCCTTGGCCCCAGCGATTCAGGCATAAGCACATGGCCAACTGCAATGCCACAGTGAGACCCAATCCCACAGCTTTGCTGAGACTAATGGGAAAATGGGCTAATGGGGCCTCTCCCCACAGGGGTTACTCAGATGACAGGATGAACGGTAATTATGTGGTGAGCAGCTCCCTGACAAAAGAAAACACCATGGAGAATGCACAGCTGAGAGACAGGCGGGGGGGTGAGGGGGGAGATTGTCACTCCCTCCGGAACACCTGGATCCAGCCATGACTGAAACCCCAGTCATGCTCAAAACCAGCAATTTCTCACTTTTCAGTCTTGTGACTCAAAAATCCCACTTTCCTTTTCAATCTAGTCAACTTGAGCAAGGTTTCTGCCAATTGCAACCCAGTTCCTGACTAACACAGTTTATTCAAAAACTTTAACTCATTCAGTCATTCCCCTACTTTACATTTACTGAATGTGCACCATTTGCCAAGTCCAGTTCTAGGAATGCAAGCCAAAAAAAAAGAGAAAAAAAAGAAAAGGTCCCCGTATGATCTGATCAGCAAAGAAATACACAATGGCTAATTACCATACAGAACGATAACTATCCTAACAAAGAGAGAGAAGGATAAATAGAAGAGGAGAAACTCCCAAATCTTCCAAGACTCAAAATGCTAAATATTGATGGCGGCCTACGGATACTATTTTAAAAAGCACATTAAGTGTACATGATAGATGCCAGGCTCTGTATTTCAGAAAAACAATCCCATCAATCCCACCAAAATGGCATCCCCACTGTTGTCTGACCTCCTCAGGCCTCTGTCTTCCATCACACCTTCCGGTGGGTAAACACCTCATCACCCTTGAAGCGTAGGAATTCGCCAGTGGAAAGAACATGCAAACACCTTTCAAGGGAACCAAAGGCTACATATTTTATCCTAATGTAGTCAGAGGCTTCAGTGTCCCAGCTAGGGGCAAGGTCTCCAACTGACACCCAGGCTCATCTGTTTCATGCCGAACAGCTTAACAAACTCCATCTCTGGAAGCCCGTTACCCCTACCCCCTGCCCCCAACACTATACTGAGCGGCAAATTCAAGGTCAAGAAGAGCCAGTTGCGCTCTTAAGTATCTCTTGATGGAGACTAGGGCAGGAGATATTAAGCGAAGACAAGTTAGAAACTGGACACTCAGTCAGAAGAGCCAGGGGTTATGGGAAGTTTCCCCCACCCCAAGTATAACACAACCCAAGTACTGAACCCTGTCAGTTTCTCCCTCTGGCTGCAGAGCTTTTTCCTATGAAAGAAATGCGACTCAAAATGTTCTGGATTTCTGTATGACTTACCATCATGCGTGTCAAGCTAAATAAAAGAGATATGTAAGTTAAGTTACATTTATGATGGACAGTCACCGCTATGCTGCTGCATGCACAGGCTTTCCCTGGAAATCTGCAGAAGAAACTGGTAGAGAGAAAAGCTAGATGACCAAAGTCTGAGGACAGAGACACACCTGCGGTTCTCAACCACAGGACACCTGGCAGTGTCTGGAGACACCTCTGATTGTCCCAACTGGGAGGGGGGGCAAGGAGGGGGAAGAGGTGCCACTTGGCCTCTGCTGGGTTGAGTCCAGACATGCTGCGGAACACCCCTATAATGAGCAGGACGGTGCCCCTCCACCCCACGAAGAAACAAAGAATTATCGGGTCCCAAACGGCAACCGTGCTGAGCTTGAGAAACCCTGTCCTAGACCTGTTGGAACAGCTTCAAGTAGTTTTACCAAGGAATACATTGTCCTTTTTAAAATAAAATGTATCATACAAAGAAGAACAGTTAACAATTATAAACACACTGAGACTATTTAAGAGTTTAAAGGAAAATAATCAAATGAACACCCTACATAACGATCACCCAGTCTTCAGATGCTTTTTAATTCTAAAAATCAAAGAAAGCCATCAGAGATCTGGGGAAAGTTGGGGAGACCAGAGTGTTCTCAAAGAATGAGCTGGCAGAACCTTCCAGCCATGAATGCCGGCATACGTGAGCCGGAAAGGATCTAAGAGAACTTGAAGTCCCAGACTGGCTAAAAGAGGTCACTTCGTATGGCAGCTCCAGTCTGCTGACACTGGTCACTGGGAGGGTGGCCCAAAAAGAACTCAGTGGGAGAGAACTCCACGACGCGTTGTGGACATCTAGTGCAGGGACAGAAGCGGGGGGCAGGCAGAGGCCTGTGTGACACCCCCGTGGCCCAACCCTTCCATGTTCCATATGCAAGAACCCAGAGGCAGGGAGGCGGACTGACTGGCTTCGGGTCACACCAAGAGCTCGCAGCCAAGTTCAACAGGCACCCCACGGGTCCACACCTGTTTATATCTGGCCCATGGGTTTAGAATACTTTAACAGACATAGATAAGTTTTTTAAAAAATCAAAATAATATATGACACAGGAAGCAACTCAAATTTCAGTATCTATAAGAAATTTTTAGGGGAATGTAGCCACGCCTGTTCACGTGTCTATTACGGATGGCCACACTGGCAAGAAAGAAGAGAGGCAGCAGAGGGGCGCCTGGGTGGCTCAGTGGGTTAAGCCTCTGCCTTCAGCTCAAGTCATGATCTCAGGGTCCTGGGATCAAGCCCCACATCGGGCTCTCTGCTCAGCGGGGAGCCTGTTTCCCCCCTCTCTCTGCCTGCCTACTTGGATCTCTATGTCAAATAAATAAATAAAAATCTTAAAAAAAAGAAAAAAAGAAAAGATAGCAGCAGAGAGGCTATGCCCAGAATGTCTACAATGTTCGCTAGTTGGTCCTTGGTAGGAAAAGCTCACTCACTCCTGCTTTTTGCCAGTGTTTCTCAAATACTCTGGAGAAAGGGAACAGATGGAAAAGAAGACAATATACTTTTCATTTGATGAGTTTCTGTATGGATTCAATTTTTTTTTTAACAACAAATGACAAGTATTTGCCGATGGGCTATTTTAGGCACAGTGGGTACGGCAGTGCACAGAGAAGACAAAATCCCTGCCTTCCCATTCCCGGAGCTGCCCTTCTCATGGAAGGACAGACAGACAATAAGTACATCTTAGAGCACGTCTGGCACCTGCCAAATCCTGGGCTCTTGACTGGTCTGCAATGGAGGAAATGCTGACACAGTGCTGTCACCCGACTATGACACCGAGGGCACAGCGTAGTTCTGCCGCATGTTTTTCTAACAAGGACGCAAAGAGACCTGCTTGACATTCTGGCACAAATTTCTTATCTCATCGTGAACCTATAAACCAGCAGCTCCTAGAAGTGGCTGCTTCTGAGGACCCCTGGGCTGGCAGCTACCAAGACAATGAAGTGGGGGAGGGGGCGGGTGGCCATTCATCCAAGGAGTTGTAGGACCAGGCCTCGCTGAACCCTTGACCTTTTTGAACATGTTCGGGCATGAAAACACGACCAAACCCCCCATGAGGTGGGCCAGGGTGGGCGTGGCTTCACTCACCAGGAAAGGTGTGCAGACCCAGGTGAAGGTTCCCACGGCTGCCAGGTAGGCCGATTTCTTGAGCACCTTCAGCTCCTCCTGCCTGATGGCCAGCACCTGGTCCTTGAAGGCCAGTTCCCAGGCGTAAAGCTTGAGCACTTTGATCCCGTTGAGAATCTCATTCATCAGCTTAATCCGATTGTCTTTGCTCTTCATGTGGGCCACCTTCAGAGACAAGAGCAGTTGACACCACAGCGGGGGACCCCGTCTGGCCCCATGGGAGAAGGGGGCCTTCAGAAGGGTGCAAAAGCCAACCCTGAAATCCCTATGAATCCTCCTCCTTTTGACCCTGAGGGCACAAAGGACTCCTTTACCGAGGGAAGAACCTGCTTTGGATCACGTTAAATGGGACACTGATTAAGACACCTATTAAACTTAGATCTGAGAAGCAGAAACAAGAACAACCCTGCGGTGTCCAGGGAAGGCGGGCAGGGACCCTACTCCGCTGATCCAAACACAAGAGAGACAACGATGCTGGGGTTTTTGGGTTTTCTTCCCACCTCCGTTTCCTTAGTTTCTCTACTGAGCTATACTGCCCGTTAGATAGCACTGGGCGTCTTCCAGATGCCGAGCCCTTTTCTAAGCACTGGGCATGCATCTAGCCACTTTGTGCTCCTAAGAACTGTCGCTGAGGGCTCTGGTCATTCCCTGGTCACGGATGAGGACGCTTTTTAAGTCCAGGAAAGCCAAAGCCTGTGACTGACGCGGTTTCAAAAGTGGGCCACTCAGGGAGGCCTACTACACAGCACTGAGAGGACGAAAGGTGACAGGGCCCTTTTCTTGCATAACCTCCTCCCACCCGCACCTGCTGAGGCCTCATTCCAACAGGTCCCCATCCTGGGACTCATCATCAGCGCAGTCAAGCATTCTTATTTGCAGTTCCACAGGCACATCATAAACAGCCACCAACAGAGGAGCAGAGACATCAACTCTGGCCCCTCGGTTATGGACCATGTGGTGCCAGTTCAAGAGAATGAAGTCACATTAGATGGAAAGATCCCTGAGACGTGGTCTCAAATGATCAAACCAGGCTGCGAAATGGGCCATGTGTATAAAAACATACATGGTGGTGACACCACGAAGAAACACACCCAGGCCCACCATGAAACCTAACTGTATAATCAGAGCTCTCTATAAATACACGGAAAGTTCGAGAAGGGTTTGCTTCAACATGCTCACTGACACGGAGAGGAAAGGGAAGGAAATATTCCCTTTTAATCTATACACTTTTCTATCAATGGAACATTTTTTTATGATGAGAAGGCAACAGCTCTGTCACTTGCATATTGAAAAACTTAAAAAATACAAAACACTGCTGAAGAGAGTTGAACACTGAGCCTAGCATAAGGTAAGAGGGGGGAAAAAAGTCAGGGAGTAATGTTTACTCAACTCTTGAAAATGCACAGAAAACACGTAAATCGTTGAATTTTGTGGGAAATAAGGAATTTCCCAGAGGCTCACACATGTGATTCTGGTCACTGGCCTAGGTCTAGCTATTTCAGGGGCTCCTAACCTTGGCAGTCCACCAGAATCACCCAGGAAGCTTTAAAAATTGATGCTTGGGGTCTCACCCACATGAAATGAACCAGAATCCCAGAAATGGAGCCCAGGCATCAGCATTTGGGAAAGCTCCTCAGGGGACTCGGACAGGCATGCAGGGCTGAGAACCCCTCCGGGGCCTGCGAAGAACTCAGCTAGAACCCAAATGGAAAGGCCTCGACAAGAGCCCAACTTGGAGCCCTGTGGCAACAGACACCCTACCTGGTAAGTCTTGGTCTTCATGGCCATCACGGCATTGACAGGAACCATAAGGATCATCACAGCCACCCCAGCCAGGACGGACGGGCCCAGGTTCTAAGGAAGAAAGAGAACAGAGGTCTTCAACAGGGTGCTTCTCCGGCTGAGCCACCCCACGCTGATCCTGCAGACCTGGCCGATCATCTTCAGGGCAGCTGCGTCACTCTTACCCAGCGACAGGCTTATAAGAATATTCAGATTTATTTGTGAGCCTCTCTTGGGGTCCCACAACCCCTTTAAGAACATGACAGGGCCAGATGAGTTTCGGAAATTAGAACTTCAGAATGGTGGGGCTCCTGGTGGCTCAGTCAGTTGAGCTGCCAACTCTTGATTTCGGCTCAGGCCATGATCTCGGGGTTCTGGGACCGAGCCCTGTGTGGGGCTCCCCTGCTCAGCAGGCTGTCTGCTTGTCTCCCTCTCCTTCTGCTTGAAGGAGAGCTGGGAGGGCCCCCAGCTCTCATGCTTTCTCTAAAGGACTTTAGAAAGGTAAGAAAGCGTTGAATAGCAAAGAGTTAACACAGCCAGTATAATGGTTTATCGTGTTTGAAGGCCTGCTTACAGATTTGGCCCTTGGCTGCCATCTGGGAGCTTGGATTTAGGGAGGGCTCCCACCATTCTCAGAACTGGTACGAGTAGTTCGCTGGGCCTCAACTCTTTGTACAAATGCTATAGCTTATGCTGAAACCCCCTTTGTCTTCTGAGAGTCTAAAAGTCTGGTATGGGCCAAGCAGAGGACACCTGTGCAACCAATCCCCAGTAAAAACCCTGGGTGTTGGGTCTCTATCAAACTTTCCCTGGCTGACAACATTTCCCACGCTGTTGGAACTTGTTGCTAGGCAATTAAGTGCATCCTGTGTGAGGCTACTGGGAGAGGAATCCCGAAGTCTGTACCTGCTTCCTGCCACGCACCCCCCATTCCTCCCCCTGTGTAGTCACCCTTGGCTTTCTCCTGCTGTAAAAATGAAAGCCCCAAGTGCTACTAGCAACCTGGCGTGGTCTCGGGGACCGCTGACCCAAGCGAGTCCATATATTGCATTACACGACCCCTGGGCCCTAGCACAGCACTCCATCATCAAGGGTACTGACCTCTCATCACCAAAATAGTATCGGCCTGAGAGAATAATCAAGATCACAAACACGTCCCCTCAGCTCAGGTCAGGTCAGGTTAAGGCACCACACGAGTTAAGGAAAACTTCCACACCTTTTGGATTTGGGGGTATGTAGATAAGAGGTTGTAGACTTGTTCTATTATCCGAGTGGCAGATAAGGAAACTACCCCTGAGAGGTTAAGATGCCAAGATAAGATACAGATATCCATTTTTTAATTCCAACACCTGAAAAGAATACAGCTTGAGAAACTGGCCCAGTGCACATACTCACATGATGAAACTACAGGGTAATATGATTTTTTTCTCCCCCTTAAGCATTCGGAAAACCAGGAGGGCTAGTCTCTTCCAAGTCAATGCACACGGGGGCACTGGGCCCTAGTCTCCCCAAAAATGCTGCTGTTGCTCATAACGGTTTCTGCAAAGTATCTCCACCCAGTGACCAATTACATACCTTCAAGAATGAAGTGATTTCTACCAACAATCTAAAGCATTCAGAATAAACTCTGACAGCAAACAATAATTAAAAGATACTCGGGGCACCTAGGTTGCTCAGTGGGTTGAAGCCTCTGCCTTCAGCTCAGGTCATGATCCCAGGGACCTGGGATCAAGCCCCGCATCAGGCTCTTTGCTCGGCAGGGAGCCTGCTTCCCCTCTCTCTCTGCCTGCCTCTCTGCCTACTTGTGATCTCTGTCAAATAAATAAACAAAATCTTAAAAAAAAAAAAAAAAAGATACTCCGTGTGTTCATACCCCATACACCGTTCTATGAACATAACCTGTACTGATTCATTCCTTCATCCCAACATCCCTATGATGAAATGTAACATTACCATCACCAGTTTGCAGATGAAGACACACTGAGGTTTAGTGACCTTAGGGAATGACATCACAAACCTAATCATTGAAGAGGCAGGATTTGAGCCCAGACAGTCTCATTCCTGAGCCCACACCACTGTCGCTATCCTATACTGTATTTTTTTTTAAGATTTTATTTATTTGACAGACAGAGATCACAAGCAGGCAGAGAGAAAGGGAAGCAGGCTCCCCGATAAGCAGAGAGCCCGACGCGGGGCTTGATCCCAGGACTCTGGGATCATGACCTGAGCCAAAGGCAGAGGCTTTAACCCACTGAGCCTTGCAGGCGCTCCTCCTATACTATATATATATATTTTTTTTTTTTAAAGACTTTTTTATTTATTTGACAGACAGAGAGAGATCACAGTAGGCAGAGAGGCAGGCAGAGAGAGAGAGAGGAGGAAGCAGGCTCCCCGCTGAGCAGAGAGCCCATTGTGGGGCTCGATCCCAGGACCCCGGGATCATGACCTGAGCTGAAGGCAGAGAGGCCCAACCCACTGAGCCACCCAGGTGCCCCATCCTATACTATATCTTTAACGGATGAACAGAAAAAGCTGGTTTTCTATCTAAACCAGTGGTTCCCAAACAGGGAAGAATTGCCCCTAAGGGACATCTGGGTCACAACTGGCAGGGGGGGAAGGTAGCAGGGGACTGTGTTATTGGTATCAGAGTGAAAAGACCAAGGACGCCACTGAACATCCCGCAGTGCATAGGACAACCACCCCCCCCCCCGCAACAAGAAACTCTCTGGCCCCAAATGTCAATGATACATTCAGCAACCCTCACCTAAAACAGAAAGATCTTCTTAATGGTTCACAAATCACCCCTGGAGGCTAATTCTAAAAGAAATGCTCCAAAAACTATTTCACCCGTGGCTGAAATTTCTGGAGAAGTGGATACCCCAAGATGTCGGCCCCAAAAGACATTTAGACTCTGCTATTTATTTCTAAGTTTCATTTCTAGAAACAATTTATAATCACTCATCTTCTGCTGTATAAACAGACCAAAAAAAAAAATGTAAACTACAGTCAAATCAATGGATAATTTGCTGCACACTTATTAGGCACCGGGCCCTGCTGGGACTACACTCACAGGAAATAAAAAATAAGGCACAAGCAAGACACTGAGGGGCGCTGGGTTGGCTCAGTCAGTTAAGCATCCTGACTTTGACTCAGGTCATGATCTCAGAGTCTGGGGATCCAGCTCCGCATATGGCTCCCTGCTCCCCAGGGAGTCTACTTCTCTCTCTGCCCCTCCCCCTACTCATGCATGAGTGTGTGTGTGCCAAATAAATACATAAAATCTTAAACAAACAAACAAACAAACAAAAAAACCAAGACACTGAGCTCATGAGTAACCAAGACACTTATCAGGAGAGGAGGAGCAGCTATACCAAGCAGCAAAACACTATTCTAGAAGGTAGTATCAGAGGAGCTCCTTTACTAAATTATTGGGATTTTAAAAAGGAAGAAATCCGGGGTGCCTGGGTGGCTCACACATTAAGCGTCGGTCTTTGGCTCAGGTCATGATCCCAGGGTCCTGGGATCGAGTCCCGCATCAAGCTCCCTGCTCAGTGGGAGCCTGCTTCTCCCTCTCCCACTCCCCCTGCTTGTGTTCCCTCTCTCGCTGTGTCTCTCTTTGTCAAATAAATAAACAAAATCCCCCCCCACAAAAAAAAAGAAAAAAAGGAAGAAATCCATCTAATCCTGAGAGAAAAGCAATCTGGATCTGGCAGTTGTCACCGCCTTTAAAGATGGGTAGGACTTCATCCTTAGCAAAGGAGGAAAAGGGGGGCACCTGGGTGGCTCAGAGGGTTAAGCCTCTGCCTTCGGCTCGGGTCATGGTCCCAGGGTCCTGGGATGGAGCCCTGCATCGGGGTCTCTGCTCAGTGGGGCGCCTGCTCCCCCCGCCTCCTTTGCCAGCCTGTCTGCCTACTTGTAATCTCTCTCTCTTTCTGTCAAATAAATAAATAAAATCTTTAAAAAAAAAAAAAAAAAAAGGAGAGAAAGGAATTCCTGACAGAAAGAAAGACACATACAAAGGCTCAGAGTGACAAAGGATAAGGCATGTGTTAGGCCATGAGCACCTCGTTAACTTTTCACTGTGGGAACCTCCCCTCCTCATGTGGAGGGGCTGTCAATCACACACTCTCACTGTGGGAGGGCATGTGACCTGGGCTGGCCAGTCAAAGAACTCTGCCTCTCGGTTCACAGTGACTGGTACAGGGATGTGCCTGGGACTCTGGCTAAGGAAATGAGGCATGCAATATTCTCTTTTCTCTGACACTGCTCTCGGGAAAGATGGTAAAAGCCCAAAGGTATGGAAGCCACCAAGGGAAATCCGATTGAGAGTGAAGTCATCTCAGAGGCAAATAGGGCCAGGAAATGATGAAAGGGTGACCCTGAGTCCTCACAGCGCTGCGTGAACTCCTGGATCCATCCATGCCTAAGACCATACCCTGTGCCCTGCAGTTACATGCCCCCACAAAATTCCCTTTACTAGCCCAGCCTATTTCAAAGATTTTATTGATTTGAAAGAGAGAGAGCATGTACATATGAGAGCGAGAGAGAGCCCACGCAGAGGGGAGGGGCAGGGGGAGAATGATACTCCCCGCTGAGTAGGATGCCCGACTCAGGGCTCTATCCCAATACCCTGAGACCACAACCTGCGCCAAAGGGAGATGCTTAACCAACTGAGCCACCCAGGCGCCCTGCTTACCATCCCTTTTAAAATGGGTTTCTATCTCTTGCAACTCAGAGAATCTTAACCAACACAATTCAGGGCTAGTGAATAAAGAAATTTTGTTCCTGTTTGGCAGGATACAGTGGGAGAAATATGGTGTGTACGTTACAAGGCTGTTAATTACGTACTGTCAAAAAAACAAATGCAGGGGCGCCTGGGTGGCTCAGTGGGTTAAGCCTCTGCCTTCCGCTCAGGTCATGATCTCAGGGTCCTGGGATCGAGCCCCGCATTGGGCTCTCTGCTCAGTGGGGAGTCTGCGTCCCCCTCTCTGCCTGCCTCTCTGCCTACTTGTGATCTCTCTCTGTCAAATAAATAAATAAAATCTTTAAAAAAAACAAATGCAAACAAGTATCATGCCATCAAAAAGAGCATAAATCCAAAAACCGAGAAAACAGATATGACACCAGAAATTGTCCAACAGACCAGAAAATAAAGTGTGAATGATGTCAAGGAAAAAAAACCCCAGTGAATGACAGAGGTTCTTATCACCGACACCCACTCCCTCACCCCCACTGCCCACATGAGGTGGTCCCTCCCTCTGCACAAGGGGAATAACGTCAAACACACACCAGCCACAGGAGGTAGAGAGCAAGGATGACTTGCAGAGGAGCTGACCAGATCATGTTAATGTACGTGGCCAAGTCCATGAACCTCTGGGCGTCCACAGACATGAGGTTGACAATCTCCCCGACAGTGGAGGACTTTCTGGCTGAGTTGGTGATCACCAAGGCCTGCAGGACAATGGAGAGAGAAAGACGGTGAGTCTAGCAGGCAAAAACCTTTCGTCCAGGTCCACGTGGAGGAAGAACACAGCTCAGGAACGGAAAACCCCCTCTCTTTTCTCCTGCCTTCCTACCTTATATGCGTTCCCAGCTCGTAGGTCCCATCACAAAGCCCCAGCTCTTATCAATGACGGTCTCTGCCTCATCCTGACTTCCGTAATATGGAAGGGACCCCAAGATCACCTAAACCAGGGTGTCACACACTGAAGGGGGCACACACATCACTGGGGAACTTTGTTACAGTGCCATTTCAGATTTGGAAGGACTGGGGTACGGGCCTGGGGAGATGCATTTCTAACATGCTCCCACATGATGCAGATGCTGCTGGTCCGCAGATCACACTCAAGGAGCAAGGTCAAGGTCAGGGTTTCCCAGTCTTGGCATGACTGACATTTGAAGCTGGATACGTCTTTGTGGGACTGGCCTGTGCCTTACAGGGTGTTCACCAGCATCCCTGGCCTCTAACTAGACACCTCCATCTCTGGTTAGGACAACCAAAAACCAAAGACATCTCCAGACATCTTCCAAACATCCCCTGGAAGGATAAAATTGTCCTGATTCTCAAACATGGTTTCACACTACTGCCTGGGGAATTTAAGAAATAAAGATGCCTAGGTCCCACCCTCAGAGATCCTGATTTTGTCGGTCTGCAGAGCAGCCTGGGCAGTGGGAGTTGCTGAAGTTCTCCAAGCGAGTCCAACTTACAGACAGGGCTCAGAACCAACGAACTGGCCCATCTCTCTTGACTACGCAGTCTCTTCTCTACCCACGGGCCCAAGCAGTGTCTTTGCCCCAGAAGCTAAGAAATTGAAGGAACCACGAAATTCCCTTAAAGTTGGATTGCCTAAATGCCTAAGCACTCCACTGCCCAGGGAAAGGACCACCTGCCCAGTCCATATGGAGAGTCAGAACAAGCTCAAATGGAGTATCAGTGGCAGTGACAGCGTGAACGTGCATTTTCCCAAGTTGAATGCCACCTAAGAAACTCCTTTCCGCATGGCTGACACAAGCCTCAAGGACATGCTACACATCAGCTTTGATAAGGTCTCACACCTGATGGGCAACTGTGGCCAGCTGCGGTCATGTGGGCTGGCCTCCTGCTACTGCTCTAGAAGCTGGGCTTGAAATCCTCACGGTGGCCTTGGGGGTGACCTAGCAGGTCCCCAGAGATTCTGAGGCTACATACACCTGGAGACGTCAACGTGACCCCCTGGGTGTGAGGACCGGCCTTCACCTGCCTTCTAAGAGATGTCACCCACCTTCCGGCTGACCCCGCCCACCTTCCGGCTGACCCCGCCCACCTTCCGGCGGACCCCGCCCACCTTCCGGCGGACCCCGCCCACCTTCCGGCGGACCCCGCCCACCTTCCGGTAGACAGCACCAATGACGGCTGTCTTGATCCTCATGCCGCTGACGAAACAGATGTGGAAGTACTGGTGCAGCACGAGGGTCTGGAGGCAGGCGCTGACGAACAGCAGCACGGTGTAGAAGTAGCCCTGCCAGTCCGGGGCCTCCTGATCGTTCACGAAGTTGATGAGCAATCTGAGGGGGCAAGGACGGAAGGACCGGAGCCTGACGCACACGCGCAGGGAACAAGTCCTCCCCCGTCCGCATTTCGACTCTCCCTGAGCCAGGTGAGGCGGGTGTTATTCCTGCCATTTTATGCAGAGAAAAACAAACCCACGGGGGCGATGGGGCCGTGCAGGTTGCCCCAGCAGGTGCAGGTGGCCTCTCCTACCGACTGCTCTGGCTCGTCACCAGAAAGCCACCTGCAGGTGACCAGAGAGTATGTTAGGCAAAGGTAGGAAGGCAAAGACGAGGAGCGGGTGGCCCCCCCCCCCAGAGACAAAAAGAGGTAAAGAGAGAGAGGAGGGAGGGGACCTCCTTGTGACTTTCTGTTTTCAGGCTGCAGTATGACGCAGTCTGGCTCATTTTCTTGTTCTCAGTTTCCCTAGACATTCCTCTCTCCTCCTCTGGCTTTAGGGGAAGTGGGTTTCGGTTACTTGCAACCAAAATGGCCTGAGTTCAGATGGTGTCAAAGCAAAGTACTGGGCAAAGTGGGTGAAGACAGAGAGGCTCGGCTGTAATTAAGCCCGTGGGGCACCCCGCGTGACCCCAAGGCAGAGGTTAGGAGTGCTGCCTGTGGAAGGTCAGGAACACAAAAACTTGCCCAGCTGAGAGGGAAGGGGTCTTACTTTAAGATCTCTGGGCCGGCAAACATCATCAGGTCATGGACGGCCTTGAATAAGAAGCTCATGAGGAAGTAGGGCCCGAAGGTCTTGTATAACACCTTGAACAGAGACGGCTCCCGCTCCTTCTGGGGGGACTTGACGATCAAAACCTCAGCCTCCTCACTCACATCCACCTGCGAGCCCCCTTTTGGCTTGGCGGGATCCTTGGAGGAGTACGACATCTTCGCCTGCTGCCTGGAACACAAGGAGTGTGGACCGGTTGTGGGCTCTTCTGGAGACTCCGCTGGCTGGCCAGGGGAGAGGCCCAGAACATCCACCCCTCGGGGAGACCGGCCCGAGAAAGCCAGTCACTGCAGAGAGGCAGCTTAGCACGATGCTTCGGAGCACAGACTCGGGGCCCTGGCCAGCCAGCTGTGTGACTTTCAGGCAAGTTCCCTAACCAGCCCAGGTTCATCACCTGTTCAACAGGGATACACATAGGATCCGGCTCACAGAGCTGCTGTGGAAATTAATGGGTTAATACACACGAAGGGCGCTGAAAAGTACAAGGCCCACAGCGATCTACAGATGTGACAGAGCAGCAGGCTCCGTGCTTAGCTGGGGGTTTGCTTGAGATTCTCTTTCCCTCTTCCCCTCCCCAGTTTGCATGCATGCATGTACGCTCTCTCTCCTAAATAAATAAGGAAAGGTGAAAATCTTCACGACCTTGCATCTGGCAGTGGATTCTGAAATGACACCCAAACCACAGGCAATAGAAGAAAAAATATGATCACCTGGACTTTGTCAAAATAAAAAAAGTGTCGTGTATCAAAAGTTACAATCGAGAAAGTGAAAAGACAACTCAAAGAATGAGAGAAAATATTTGCCAATGAAATATCTCCTTGTAACCAGACCATGTCAAGAACTCTTACCACAGAATAAGGGGAAAAAACCCAATTTAAAAAGGGCAAAGAAGATATGCAAATGGCCATGACACGTTGCTTGACATCATTCGTCATCAGGGAAACATAAACCAAAACCACAGAATGGTATTACTTCACACCCACAAGGGGTGTCATCAAAAAGCCAGATAATAACAAGTGTCTGCAAGAATGTGAGAAACTAGAACCCTCGCACAGGGCCCTGCACAGTTCCCTCCCACTCGGACGAGGATATAGCAGAAACAGTGGAGTGCACTTCTAAGATTAGGTCACAGAAAACACAGTGGCTTCTGTCTTGCCCTCTCTTGGATCATTCATTCCAGACAAAGCCAGCTGCCGTGTGAGGAGGACACTGGAGGAGCCCCCTGATGAGACACTGCCAAGAGCCAGCACCGACTTACTAGCCGTGTGCAATCGGAAAGCAGGGCCTACAGTCCCAGTCGAGCCTTTGGATGATGCGGCCCCAGCTGACAGGGCGAGTGCGACTTCAGGAGCCACTGACCCAGAACCACCCGGCTAGGCTGGACCCCTGATCCAGAGAAACCATGTGAGATAGTAAATGTTCGCTGTCATTCTCAGCTGCTAGGTTTGGGGTAACATATTATTATTACACAGCAAAGACATACCTCCTAACTCTGGTCTCCAAATTAAAGTCAAGTCAGTATCTTCAAATGGCCCGACGTGGGCTCCGCCGCCAAAACATATGCTTCATCCTTAGCTAACCAAGTATCTGCAATTTACGGGATCCTTCCATGGTGTAAGCGTACTGAACGGCATTCAGTTTCAGAAGGCTCTCCCTTGTCACGTTGATGCCACACACTTGACTATTTAAACTACCTGACACTCTCTCTTAGCAAGCACAGCTTTCCAACCTGCCTTGGCTCACTTCCCACCCCAGGAAAGGACCAGAAACACGGGAATCTCCTCCATGCTCTGGGTCGATCAGGCATGTGTCCTGTCTGTCCCCACCCAGGAGATGTGTGGGCATGCATCCAGTGTTCATGGTTATAGCCTCTGATCCATGCAAATGACCACCACTGGGGCCTCCTTCCTGCTCCTTCATTTCCTCCCACTTTTGTTCCCTGACATCCAAGTTCCTGCACAGCAGCCAGTGGGACCTTCCTAAAAACACATCCTCCTACTTCAACTCATAGCTTCCCCACTGCACCCAGAATAAAACCTAAACTCAGTGTGAAGTTGTATAACTTCCTATGTGTGCTTTAACAAATTACCACACACTGAGTGGCTTAAAGCAGCACAAATTTATCATCTCATAGTTCTGGGGGTCAGAAATCTGAAGGGGGCCCACAGGGCTACATTCCTTCTAATCTGTTTCCTGGTCTCTTCCAACCTCTGGAAGCCGCCTACATTCCCAGGCTTGTGGCCCCTTCTTCCAGTTAAAAGCCAGTTACAGCTGCAGCGCATTCCCCACCCCCACCCCTCACCCCCTGACTTCCTGTCTCCTCTTACAAGGACCCAGTGATCATATCAGGCCCTTTGCCATGTAAGGTTCTCGGGATCAGGCCATGGACATCTTTGTGCATTATTCCACCAACCACACTGTCAATGTCACTGTGCAAGACTTTCCCAACTCCCTTTACTGACCTGCCCTAAAGCTGCCCTTTTCCTACTAGGATTTTTAGTATAATTCCTTTTAGCACATGCAGGCCTCCCTGGCAAGGAAGAAAGAGGGCTAGGCAGAGAGGAAGGGAGTGGCTCAGCTCCCCTGTTCATTCTCTGTACCACTTCCTAAACGAGACCCAGCCCTGGGCCTGCGTGGGCTGCTGGTGACCCAGGGCTGTTTCTAGTGGCCAAGAGACAGGTGCCAAAGGGTCAGGGAGAAGGTCCAGGGCAGGCAGAGAGGAGGAAAGCTCATGCCTGGGTGGACAAGGTCAAGGTCAAGAACGGTGGGAAGGATCAGCTAAGGCCAAATCAAGAAAGAAAACTATCCCATTAACAAGAAGCCCACAAAGGAGGGAAGTGCTCAAGGACCGGAGAGGAAGCAAGCTGGGCATCTTCGAGCTCTGGCTGGGAGGGGAAAGGAAAATTGGAGGGGAAAGGTCTGAGTCAGGAGAAAACCATCCAGAGCAAAGGAACAGAAAGGGGTGGGTAAGCTGAAGGCTGGGAAGAAAAAGGGCCTTTCTGAGTAGATCAGATTCCAGTGTAGGCAGAGATGCCCATCAGTCACTTGTCCACTAATGAACTAAACACATGTTCTGGGTCAAACCTGGAGCCCCACTACCACAGAGCCTCATGAGAGGAAAGGATGAGCAAGCATGACTTCATAAGACTCTTACTGGCTCTGGGTGCCTGGGTGGCTCAGTGGGTTAAAGCCTCTGCCTTCGGCTCAGGGTCATGATCCCAGGGTCCTGGGATCGAGACCCGCATCGGGCTCTCTGCTCGGCGGGGAGCCTGCTTCCTCCTCTCTCTGCCTGCTTCTCTATTTATGATCTCTGTCAAATAAATAAATAAATAAATAAATAAGATCTTTAAAAAAAAAAAAAAAGACTCTTACTGGTGCTATCATGGGGGCTTTCCAGGGGAGGTGACCTCACAGCAGTGACCTGCAGGATGGGAGAATCAGGAGAAAGAAAGGATGCTCCAGGCGGAGGGAACAGGATGAGCAAGGCCTGGAGCTAAGGACGGGAAATGAGATATGGCAGCCCTTTCTCAGAACCAGTGAGAACCTCAGGGTGACCTGAACAGGGCTGGGAGCAGACCGCAGGGGCTCGAACCAACCAAAGAGCAGCAAGGCACTACTGAGGACTCTGTCATCTGTCATGAAGGCTTTAGGAAAGGCCAAATCTTAAACTTAAAAAAGTCTCAGCGTGACTGAAATTTCTACATTTCTGGGTGTCCTCTGAGCATCGTGGTCTTTGACCCATAACAAATATCCAATGTAACACAGAAGGGCAGACTTGACCTACGAATGCAGAGAATGCACTTTACAACCCTGGGGCACATTGTCACTCTTCTTAGTGCTAAGGATATACAGAAGGACAGTCTCGGGAACCACAGTGGGAGTGGCAAGGGTCCCCCTCCCATCCCACCCCCTCGGTAGCCCTGGCAGGATTTTAAATGTGCTGCTTATGAATGCAAATGACTCAAACTTCCCCCACCACCCTACCCTTTTTTCAAGTTTTCTTTTTCTTTTTCTTTCCTTTTTTTGTTTTTTTCTGTTCCTCAAAAGCAGAGCTTTTCTCAAAGGGGGTTGTTTTGCAAATGCCACATTCTCTGATTATCAACCACTGAGCCAGATACCAGACTTTCTGTGACCTAAGGACCCTCAGTCCCCCCAAAAACAGCCCAACAGGAATCTACGTAGATTGAAAAGCCTGCCCGAAATCACCCAGGTCTGGAATCGAACTCCATTTTCAGACATAAATCCATAATATCCGTAGTGGGTATTTTGTAGTTTTAAGTTTAAATACACCTTGAATTTTTTTCAGAAATGCAACTTTTTTTTTTTTTTTTAAGATTTTATCTATCTATTTCACAGAGAGATCACAAGTAGGCAGAGAGGCAGGCAAAATGAGAGGGGCAAGCAGGCTCCCCGCTGAGCAGAGAGCCCAACTCGGGGCTCGATCCCAGGACCCCGAGACTATGACCTGGGCCGAAGGCAGAGGCTTAACCCACTGAGCCACCCAGGTGCCCCCAGGAATACAACTATTATTGAAAAGAAGGGGAGACTATATTTCATTCAGAATTTAGCCAAGTGATGGCCACGACTCTGCAAAACCTCTTCTGTGAGGGCGACTGATGGTGGGTCCGGAGATCAGGAGGGATCTGTAGCTGTCACAAGGAACCCTCCCCTTTGGGACAAGCAGCAACTCTCCATTCTGTTCTCCCAGTGCACACGCGCCTGAGCATCTACTCACTGAAATACACACTGTCCTATGACAAAACCGTTTCAGATTTCCTCAGAAGTCTAGTGAGAGCATTTTGTTAATTTTTTAAATTTTAGCTATGTGGGTGGGTTATTTTTACTGACCTATTACCTTAAAGTAACTGTACTGATGTTGGAGAATCTTTGTATTCAAGGCAACAGTGAGTCTGCAAGGTTCAGAACCACCGCTCAGCACACATATGCTGGCGCTTTGTGTCGTTTTTTTGTTATTTTCTGTCTGCATTCCTTTACAAAATAGAGACAATTAAGCAAAAATGGCCACCCTGTCTTTAAGAATGTTTTCTGCTTTTTAAAAAACATCTATAGCTTAATTGAGGTGTAAGTGATGTATGCTCGGTTGCACATATTGGGAGTGTATGAATGGATGAGTTTTGACCTACATGGACACATAGGCCTATGAAACTGTCCGCAAAATCAAGGTGGTGAACATATCCATCACCCCGTGTGGTCTGCCAGGGCCCCTCTGTAACTTCTCCCCCCCACCTGCAGCCTGTTCCCCAGCTAAGTGAGGAGGCCTGGCCACAAGGGGCCACACCAAGAAATCCCAGCGGAGGAGAGGACTTTCCATTCGCCCACCATGTCTACCTGGTTTGTGCCTCTAGAGACAGAGAATGAAAAGGCAGTGAACCCCCAAGCTGAGAACCCCTGAAGACTGAGGTATTGAGAGGGCCAGTGCCTCTAGGGGTGGCCCATGTTGAAGCCCGAGGAACCAGGGCTCACCACATCCTGCCAGGCAAGATGGGAACGCCCAGTCCGGGGCTGCGTCCAGATGAAGCAACACCACTCATATGGTATTACCTGCCTGGGGTTTACCCAGGACGATGACAGGGTTTACCCATGATGTTTATCGCACTGAACTGTCAGAAATCCCTCTGAGCAGCAAACAGGGGCTCTGGGGCACGAAGGGATCTGAGGGACACAGCCCCTCAGGCCCCACCCTGGTCTCCCTGCCCCCTCTCTCACCTTCCCCAGGGCAGCCCCACTGGTTAAAAAACAGAACTCAGGACATGCCACTGGCCTGCACAAAACCCCCCTCTGACTTCTCACTGTACCTAGGATCAAACCTGAACACGCTAGCTCGGCCCATGAGACCCCTGCAAATGCTTCTCCTCCCTTACCGCCTTCCATTCTGCCCCTCCCACACTTCACTCAGGCCACACTGCTCCCCCTACTTTTCCATAAGCATGCCAGACTCACCTCTACCTCAGGACCTTTGCATGAGCTCTTCCCTCTAACCATAAAGCCCTTCCCACACACATGGACGCGGGTCACTACTTCCTTCAATATGAACTTCTGCTCAAATGTCGCCTTGTGCGAGTCTATCCCCACCCACGGCGTCTCCATCAGTTTCCTCAGCCCCTCACTTGCCCCACTTCCTTGCCATAATCTCATAAAATGTAATGTTCTCCAAAACTTTCCCTGTCCGTGTTATGTTTTACTTCCGTCCTGTCTCCTGATTGGAAGGTAGGGTGGCCCCAAACAAGGAGCCTCTTTGGTCCCACAGTCTGAACACAGACGGCCTGAACTGACTGCACAGCAGCAGGAGACCTCAGATCTGCTGAATGAATCAGTTAAGGGCCAGGACGGTGACAGACAGGGCTTCTCGTTCAAGCCTGGTCCTCCTTCCGCAAAGCCTCAGAGGCAACCTCTCCCACGCCATCTGCAGTAACCTGCTCACCCAGAAGGGTGGGCCCAGGGACCCGCCTCTGCCTGAGAACCTCCTACGGGGTCACGGGCACCAGATTCAGACCAGGTTCAGGAGGAGCCATACGTGCCCAGAACACCGCCCATCTCGCGATGCCCGCCCACAGAGGCTTATGGCTCGACCTGCCTGCCCTGAGACAACCTCTCCCGTGTCCGTGGCTACCCCGAATGGGCACCAGCTCAGCATCGCAAGGGCCCCTGCTGGCGTCCTAGTAGCCAACAGGACAAATGTACAGAGTTCCCAGCCCCAACCAGGCTGACCAAAGATCTATAACCTAGGTGTTCTGGCAACTGGACCTCCCAGTCCAAGGTTTTTCTCCCAGAAGGACAATTGGTCTGTGAGAGATCCCATACAGCAGGCTGACCCGTCAGCCAGTGCTAAGAGGTCAACAACAGGCCCACCCCATAAAACCACAGGAGGAAGGACAGCCACTTTTGGTTCTGCTCCTGCCACCACCCTCTATCACCCCCACGTCACCCCTAAGTTCTTAACTACCTCCTCTGGACACGGGACACAGGCCAAGGCCCATGACCTACTGTCCTGTAACAGGCACTTTCCCTTCTTACCAGCACGTAATACAATGCTGTTTCACGTAACTGAGGACGTCTTAGGTTTGATGAAATCAAGTATGTGCCGGTGAGGCCCTGGCCTGATTCCCAAAAAAACTTGGTAAGAGGTCACGGGATGGCACGCAGCTCATGTGGGAAGCGTGTCTGAAACTCAGGATACCGGGCCGCCTGCGGGGCTCAGTCGGTGAAGTGTCTGCCTTCGGCTCAGGTCATGATCCCAGGGTCCTGGGATCAAGCCCCACATCAGGCTGCCTGCTCAGCAAGGAGTCTGCTTCTCCTTCTGTCCCTCCCCCTGCTCACGCACGCTCTCTAATAAATAAATAAAATATCTTTAAGAAGATACATAAATAAAATAAAATTCAGGACACCAAATGGGACCCATAATGCAAACTATGGGCTCGGGGTGATTGTAATGCGTCAGCACGGGTTCATCAATGCTCACAAAGATCCCTTCTGCTGGGGGACACTGATAACAAAGGAGACTATGTATGGGAGAAGGGGGGCTTACACACAACCCTCTGTGCCTTCCACTGTGAAAACTCAAGTCTAGGGGCACCTGGGTAGCTCAGTCGTTGCACGTCTGCCTTTGGCTCACATCATGATCTCGGGGTCTTGGGATCAAGCCCTGCACTGGGCTCCCCGCTCAGCGGGGAGTCTGCTTCTCCCTCTCCCACTCCCCATCCCCGCTCGTGCTCCCTCTCTTGCTGTCCCTCTCTCTCTCTGTCAAACAAATAAATACAATCTTAAAGAAAAAAAAAAAACACTAAAGTCTATTTTAATTTTAAACGCAGCACAGCCCAAAGCACCCTTGGGGAGGGCTTCCTTGGCAGAATAGATGCTGAAGCGAAAGGCTTGGTGTGTCGAAGCCAAAACACTGAAAAGAGCAAGAACACTCAGGAGGCCGGACGCTCCCGGTGACACAGGGAAGGTGCCGCTGTCTCATGCAGAGCGGGGCTGCGCACCCCAAGCACGCACTTGCCGAGGGCCCAAGCAAACAGCATCAATCTTTCGCTCTTGTCTACCCAGACTGCCTTAGCTACGTGGAAGAGTCTTCCTGGATTTTGCAGATGAGCCGACCATAGCTGGGAAGAGTGAAGCAGCTCGCCCAGGACCCAGAAGCTAGTCAGAGGGGACACCGCCACCATTCTGCACCGTGGTGGCAGGAAAGGGGGTGACCCGGTGGTCCTAGAGAATGCCCGGCTCTCCCCTGTGGCAAGAGGCTCGCACTTACCTTTTGGATTTGGCACACTCCTTCTTCCAGTTCTTTACCAAAACGGGCACAACTTGCTCTGACGTGTCCTCCTTATTCAGGGACCAGAGGTCAGTGCTCTCCAGCGGCTGGCGGTAGCCGCGGACCATCAGCCTGGGGCCAAAACACCAGGGGAAGGAGATGAGAGTCGCAGCAAGGGGACGTTGACCCTTGCCGCCCACACCCGCCATGCCAGCCCGCCGCCACGGACAGCAGCACGCACTTAGGAAAATCGCAATATGCACGGGACATCTGGGCACATTAAGTCATCACACCTAATTCTGTTAGGTCGCCCGGGAAACATGGCTTCATTTTTCAAAGACACAGAGTACTCAGGATACCGATTTTACAGTGGATCCCATTTACTTTAAAAAAAAGTTTTTAAGACTCAGTGGCAAAGCAGTCATCATCGTCAAATCCCAACGATAAGTTCGTTGAGTTTGGTTAGACTTGCTTTCTACATGTTTGGACACTTCCGTAAAGAACATAAACCTGTCACTGATTGTTTTGAAATCATTATCAAACTTACAGAAAAATCACATGAACACCTACCCCCCCCCAGCTCACCGCTGCTAACATCTTACCACATCTGCTGTACTCTTCTCTCTACCTATAAATATACACATACAGACTTTTTCTCTGAACCCCTTCAGCGGAGGCTGTGGATGCAGCATGCCTGAACCCCCAACGTTACCGTGTGTCCCCCTTAGAAAAAGAGCATGCTCTCACAGAAGCCAGAGAGCGACTCACGAAAATCAGAAATCTAACGATGGCATGACCCGCAGTCCACACTCCAATGACCCCAACTGTCCCCAAGATGTTCCTTAACAGATAATGTGAACAGTATTTAATTAAAAAAAAAAAAAAGATGTCTGTGCAAAGTTTATAAGGACAAGGAACAGTGTCCTTAACTGTTAATCTGAACAATATTTAATTTAAAAAAAAGATGTCTGTACAAAGTTTATTAAGACAAGGAAGAGTGCTTATGGGGAAAAAGGGATTCAGAGAATCCTGGGTAAGATGCGACATCGTGCAGGAAGAAATGTGTGGGGAAAAAAAGACAGGAAGGGAGCCTAAAGTGAGCAGGTGCCTTGGGGGTTTCTGGTTGTGGATCTATGCCTGTTTCTTATACCCACATTTCTTACAGGGCATGGGCATTACTTTTCTAATGGCAATTTTATTTCTTGGCCAACAACTGTAATTAACCTGATGTTTAAAAAAAAACAAAAAACAAAAAAACCCAAATCCGAAAGCCAAGAGCACACGGCTTCTAAGTGCCCTGGGTGAAGGTTCACACGTCAAGTCCGTCCACACGGCACAGGGTCCGCATCTGAGCCCCGGGGCCCAGGACAGACATGCTCAGCACGTGCGGTGAAGGGCTGACGGAGGGACAGCAGGCCCAAAGCACCTGCCTGGCCTTACCCTGTAATCCACCAGAATGTGACTCTGGAAAGGAAGGAGGCGCTGGATTCCGGGCAGGGATTCTAGTGGAGAGAACACACGGGGTGGGAATAAACAGGAAATGATCAATTAAACTTCTCGTCTGTCTAGGCGCGCTGGGCAACAAGCAGTGAGCAGAGCACTCTTACTCTCGATGGACCAGCAGCCCCCCTCACACCGATGACTTGCACCCCAAAAGGGTTTCTCTCTTGAGCCCCAGTCAAAGAAACACATGGCAACTCACCAGTGTCATCCAGGAAATATTTCCCGAGTGTCTACTATGTGCAAAAGCAGCAGAGAACGCCACTTACCCTCCCTGCCTTATATTCCAATTCCATGGCACCCTGGGGAGTGTGCCCGTTACCCCCATTCATTCACTGACTCATCCATTCAACAAATACCGTCTGACCACCAGCCATGTGCCGGACGCTCTACCAAGAGCCAGCATCATCTTATATCCTCATAGAACCTTACGAGCGTGGGAATTACTATTACTCCTGTTTCATTCGTTCATTCAACATGTATATTCTGAGCAACTGCTACATGCCCAGCACCATGTATATAAATCTGAGCAGACACAACCCCCGAAGCCTGCAGTGCACCAGAGTAACAATAACACCTGCTAACTTCTGTACCGGCTAACTCTGCTGTAAGTGCTTTACACACATGATCTCATGTAATCTTTGCAACCACCCTAGGAAGTAGTTAAAAGCATCATCCTCACTTTGGAGTTAAAGAAACAGAAGAGCAGAGGGATGGAATGGTCTCGCCAGGCTCCCCCCGCTGGAAGCAGAGGACACAGATGGCGAGTCCCTAACAGGCTTCAGAAAGAGACATTAATCAAATGGTCCTGTGAGCAAACACACAACCTCAACTGCCATGAGGATCGTCCCCTGAAGCTAGGTCAGTGTACCAGTGAGGTCACAGATATCTTAGTGAGATCACAGCGAGAGAGCCAATAAGCGGATGGGGGCTGATCCACGGGATGAAGGTCAGAGAAAGCGTCCCTAAGCTGGCGTCTGAAAACTGAGGAGAGGAAAACGAGGAAAGGGGGAGAGCAAGGCAGTCTCAGCACCAAGAGTGTGTGTGTGCAAAGGTCCTGTGGCAGAAGTGGCAGAAGGGGGCATAACCCACTCTGGGAACCAAGAAGTGGCTGAGCAGTCTCTACTGGAGGCCATGTAAGGGATTCTGGTCTTCATCCCAAGGGCAAAGGCAAGTCATCAACATATTCCAAGCAAGCTCTCACAGAACCTCTTTCCCAGGGGCACAGAAATGAGCTCCAACAACACACACACACACACCAGGAAAAGGATGTCCACGTGGAGCCTCAGAAACCACACACAAGGGCCAACTTTCCACACTGAAAACATTCAGATCTATATTGTAAAATATATGCGTTAGTCAAGGTAGGAGGGGGGTCACCATGCAGCAATGAGGTCTCTAACAGAGGAGGCTGCTCCATGTTCCAGCATTTTTTCAGAGACAGCCTTGGAAACACACAAACACACACATTCTGCCAGAGTGGTTTTCCATCCAGGCTGCAGGTGCTTTAAAAAGAACACCGTACCTGGTCCCCACCTCCCGGAGTCTAATCAAGCTGGTCTGGGGTGAGACCAGGACATCAAGTTTTTATGTTTGCTTTTCGCTCCCAGAGTCTCCCTGGCAAAGCGGCTTGGCAGGAAATGTCCCAGATAAGCCTCCACTGTCTTCTCACACCTGTTACCACGGGAGCTAAAGCCGTGTTGAGTTAAAAGGCCTTAGCCACAACCAGAAGCGGCTCCAAACTTGCCCCAAAAAGGATGAAGGGAGCTGCCATCAGGCCAGTAAGAAGAAATGACTGTGACCATCATGTCTGATTAAAGACACAATCTCACAATGACACTGGGGGGAAAAAAAGGCAACCCCTTGGTGTCGTTCATGCAAAGACGCATGTGAACCAAGCCACCGTCTTAGAAAACAGAAAGGGCATGAGCCAAGCGTGTTCCCCACCTTTTCTAAATGAACTTCATCAGAGGGTGACCAAAGAGAGAAAAGGGAAATGTCTTTGCATAGAATCAGTCCAGCCGGGGCAACTGGAAGGCTCAGAGTATGTGTGTGCAAATGTAATCTTTGGCTCAGGTCATGACCTCAGGGTTGTGAGATCGAGCCCCTGGTAGGGCTCTCCGCTGGACACGGAGCGTGGTTGAGATTCTCTCTCTCTCTCTCTCCCTCTCCTCTGTCCCTCCGCCACCGCCAAAATACAGTCCAGCTAATAAGCAAAGAATGAATGACAGAACATTAAGACAATGGGCCATTTTGCAACCACAGTGGATTACAGAATACTCGACGACACCCAATGATTACTATGAATGCTTTTAGGCCAGAGAGTGGGGTCACCGTTGGGCTGTTTAAAATCCTTATCTTTCAGACAGTCTCACTGGGAGAGGTGGGTGGAGGGCACACAGGAATTCTATTCATGCAACCTTTGCTAAGCCAAGTTTATTTCCAAATAAAAAGTTACTAAACATGTTTAACTCCCCGGCTTTCAGAGACAGGTACTGAAGTACTTACGCAGGGAGGTGCAGGATATAGGCAGTCTACGGCTGTCTGTTACACGCTGCTGCCTACTTCCGTACACGTGTGCAAGCTTCCATAAAAAGCTAAACAAGAAGCTTCTCTATGGACAAAAACACGCATCCTGGGCCCAGAACCACCAGGCTCCACGCAGGGACCAGAGGGGTGTCAGGAGGCTCCCAGCCCCACCTGCACCAGAGTCCAGCCTAGAGAACCCGTTGAACACCCACTCCAGACCAGCTCAGATCAGTGCCCGTGGGCTTGCCTGTGTGCTGGGGCCCTGGCCTCAGGAGATTTTTAATAAGTCAATCAGGTGCTGTCTGCCTCAAAGACCTGTGTTCCAGACCAACCTAAAGGACAGTGAGTTCAGACTTTGGAGCCCGGGTTCAAATCCCTGGGAGGCCATTTTCTTGCTGAATGAGGCGGGGCAAGTGCCTCCAGCTTGAAGCCTTGGTGTTGGAATCTGGGAGACAGGGAGCGGTACGTCAGCTGCTCAGCCTACTCACGTGACTACAAGGAGGGACAAGTGACTGAGTCCACAGGACTATGCTGTAAGGTGGAGCTTTTCCAACCCAGCATGGCAACATTATTCGTGGAGGAGGCAGCGGCCGGCATTTGCTCAGGAGGCTGGTGGTGGGTGCGTTATCATGTCAATCTCGCATACACCTAGACTGTAGCCCGATTCCACCCCAGGGTGAAAAGGTGGGGTTCCAGTGGGGAAGGGGAAATGGAAGGGGGTGGGGCACAGCCGACAATGACTCATTTATTTCTTAAGCAAATATTTAGGGAGGGCCTGCTTAGATGCCAAGAGGTGGCTGGGGACCAGACAAGACGGAGAGGTCCCCACCTGATACCGCTTCCCACCTGGGATGGACAATTAGCAAAATGATGGGAATAAATATTTAAGTATCAACAGGAGAGCCACAACGAAGAAGAAAAATGAAGGGGCCAGAGAGCGATGGGGGCCGGGGGCTTGCTTACACGAGAGGCAGCAAACAGCAAGGAGATCAGAGAGGGAGGCTCCCAATCCCAGTCCTGCCACTTACCTGCTACGGGACCTCAGCCAAGTTACCTGGCGAGGAGACTAAACGAGATGAAACATGTTAAGATTCCTTAGAATAGTACCTGGCACAGGGTGACAGCTGGAAGAAGCGGTAGTAATGGTATTAATACTAAATCTGAAACAGTAACGATAACGTCTTCTGCTTCTCGCAGCCCCCCGGCACACCGAGCCCAGAACCAGATGCTTTCCACGAGGGCTGGCAGAGAGAGGCCCACGGGCTGGCTGCGTGTCAGGAAGGTGCGACTGGCACATGGTGATCATGGCTCATTCACACACTGTCCACGTCTGCTTCCGAGCCCCGATGGCAGAGGGGAGTAGCCACAGCACGAGCTACGTGGTCGACAAAGCCTGGCTCGCTACAGAGAGCTGGTTGAGCTCTGCTTGCATCAGAGCTCCCAACACCCTGAAACAGGGACTACTAAGGCATAGAACCAGGGCTCAAACGACGGCCGTTTGCCTCCAAACCCGGGCTTCTCTCACTCTCGGCTTCAACATGGAGAGTCGCTGTGCAAGTTACAGACCTTGCACAGAGATGCCCGGCAGTGGGGCAGGTCGGGGCTGAGAGGCAGCCCGTGCCCATCTCAAGACTTCCAAGTCCCATGCCTGCGAGGGGCTGCATCAGCCCCAAGGACGCAGGGCCAGGCCCAAAGTCAGTCGCCCACACAGGCGGGGTGCGATGTCTTTTTCTCATTCGCAAGGGTACGGTTTTTTCTCATTCACCACGAGCCCCACTGCAAACAGCCCAGTGTTAGGCATAGGCACACAGGAGAGGTCCCCAAATCCTGGCATTCTCTCAAAATCAGGCACCTCCAGCCGTGGGGCAGGACCGAAGCAACCTTCCGATTATGGAATTGAAGGCAAGTTCATTCCTTTTCCACCCTCCTGGATACAAATGGAGTCCGTACCCATGAGATTGTAAGAAACAACAGCCCAGAGGGAAAAGATTCATCCTTAACTCTGGCCAGGAAAAATCCCAGCTGCTGCGAGAAAATTCCCCCGGCAAATGCAATGAGATCCCATTATTTATAAGAACATTTCACAGTTCCTAATTTGCATGCTCCAAGAGCTTTGTCCAATTCGCCTCCTCCAGCCTTTGCTTCCAAATGGGGATTTTCAGATTACGAGAAGCCGTCGTGTCATGCCGACAGAAGGCCCGCGTCGCCAGCGCAGAGAAGGAACTCTCTTAAGTTTGGGAGCTGGTTTCTAGAAGTCCCTACCTGATATCGAAGGCCTTATATGATCACAGACAACTTGAAGTCTGGAGGAGTCAAGAAGTGAAAACTAAAGAAGAAAAACAAAGGGCACGGGTGCTGGATGAGAACCCAGAGGGCATCCTGTTCAACCGAAACCAAGCAGAACATTCTCAAAGCTACCACCTCGGGGCCTCCCAGCCACTGAGGCTGGGGCGGAGCAGCTCCCGTTCCAGCA